TCCGAATATTCCGATGTCGGATTCCAGCGAGAACACACCGACTTTTTCTATCATCATCATCATCATCATGATGGATTGATCAATATATACACTCATTCAATTATCCTCAATGTTGACTGCCTCATACACACTCTTGTGACACAACTCCTCTGAGTCCGTTTCTCATCCCGGACTCCATGCGCATACCACCTGTTTGCCAACCAACGCCGCCTGAGGCCGGGCATAGCTGCATACGTACTATGAGATATAAACTCTTGGGTATGTCTGTGGATTTGTCTGCCCGGAAAGAGCTTGCAAAGGAAAGATGTGAGTACGACACACCTATGAAGACTGCGTAGAAAATGGGTTACAACTTGAATACCTGATGAATGGAAAGGCTTCGTGATGGGCTTGAAAAAGGCTGTTTTTATGTTGTATCTACCTTAGGATTAGTAAACTGCGACAACACCATCAATCTTTTGACTTTAGATTCGGTAGTATGGTTATAAGCTATCTCCAGGCCAGACGCATGACGCAACGTGTACTCGATGACATTGATGCTGGTCTGAATTGATAACCGCAAGATTGAGCAGATGCCATAGAGAACACCTCAAATCTCGCGCGCGCTATTCTTGACTCCCCAGGCAATCTGTACTATACAACAGACTTTATGAATTGGATTTACAAACTATCACAGCCTGAATGGAATAAATCTCATAAATCCGCGACTGTGGGGCGAGACTCGGAGGAGCCCCACATGGGTAGGTTTCAATGTACGGCAACTTCGACAACTTGCCTTTTCCGACACAAACGGGAAAGTGCTGGGCAGTTTAGGAAGTCGACCATGTCAAATGACTCGCCATCTACTCAGGATTGCTCGAGGCCAAGAACGATCGAAAAGTACGATCTACAACAGTCTATTGTTATATCTCGTCGCACTAATTATAGAAGATAGGAGGTGTGGCTTGGTGTTCAAGATATGGCGTTATCTTCCACGACTCGGAGCTGCGAGCAGGACAACAACTATAATAACCACGAAGAAGAAGCATCAATCGTCTCCAAAAAGGCATCCTTCGATCACTCTAGTCTCTCGACGAACCAACCTGACGCCACTCGATTTCATTCCTTCAATACCCAAGAATGCTCTTCCAACAAGCACTTGTTTTTGCCTCCATGGCCCTCGGCGTTTCCGCAGTGTGTCAATCTGTTTCTACAATGTGCAAAGGGATGGGAGGGCTCGAAGCCCGTTTCGACCAAGGATGGATTTGCGCAAGTGATATGGAACTTCCTTGCCTCACTGGATGTATCGCCAACCCGAACAAAAACGAAACTCAGGGCGTGACGGGGGTTGTCAAATGTTGTAAGCCCTGCACGTGGTAAGGCAGTACCCATACTACGAACGTTGACGGCATTCAATCTTATCAAGTTACAGATGCATGGGCAAAGTCTGATAAAAGGTTTCTGCACCCGCCTTCGAGGTTGAAACGAAGAAACGGATCCACGTTGGATCTTCTCGCCGTCACAGATTAGCCCGATGGTGTAGAATAGGGCTGGCCGAGAAGGACCTCTAGTAGGTATTTGAGCGTTGCGTGTCACAGCTGTTTATCAATGTATTCTTTCATAACTTGAACAGTGGCATCTATTCTTCCGGTTGTTCACATGAAGTTTATCGAATCAGATTTGATGAACGATGGTTGGAATTTCATGACTACGCGAAAGTATCTAACAACCCATCTAGGGGCCAAGATCGCTGTCGTATCTTCGCAGCGGCGTAGCTGGAGACGATGGCGTCCGGGTTGGAGTCCCGAACTCGATCATATGTAGCTCTCTAGCCTGTGAATTCGATAGACATCCTGCATAATCACCGCGAGGGCTCCCTGCGGGAGTCATGTACGCCATCTCCGGGAAGGACAACGGTGTCTGGTTGCCAGCAGACTTATCCGACAGCTTTGAGAGCCATCTCCGGGACCCTTGGCTGGAGTTGCGAGAACGATCCGAGCAACCGAGCAGGGGCCTCATGATGGGTATGCAGGCGCATATAACAGCGGAAGTTGGCTCGGCGATGCTGAACAGGACAAGGGGAACGGCGTCGAAGAATGGGTCTGTCGAGTTTATTCCTAAGGGAAGGTTGACCATCCTCACTACTGATATCGCGCCGGTGCTGGAGGACCGCATGTCAGCATGAATCTTTCGAATTGCCATATAATGGACAATTCGCTTACAAGATACCAACGGCAAAACTGGCAATGAGTCCAGCCTTTTGCATCGTCGCAAGTTTTAGACTACCCACAAGAGGGAGTGGAAGAATGAAAATGATGATATCGGTGGCAAGATGTACTGCTGCGTTCACATAACCCCATATCAAGAAAGCGCTTTGGTCCGAGCTGGCGGCGTACTGAGGGTCCAATAGTTTCTTGGTCACGAAGACTCCTGAAAGAAGCATCGATGCCACGATGACGGCGGTTGCAGCCAGCATCACGTCGCAGAATAGTTGGACGGAAGGTAACGCAAAGGCCCGCCGGTACTGGAGTAGAAAGGTAGCTTTGATCGAGGCGAACGCAACTTGATAAGTGAGAACGGTTGTTATGAGGAACTAGTCAAGTCAGTAAAACGCTTAGGATTCGAGCATCAAACCTACCTTGTTATCGATAGCTAGGCGTTCGGGAGCTGCGTCCCACCAGTGCAGGCCAAGAGAGCCTTTTTCCACATCTAAGTGGGAGATGATGTCAGCCTTTATATCGCGGATACCTGACGAGGGAGATTGATCATTACTAAAGTAGACGGGTATGGCGAGACCCATGACGAAAACCTTCACATTGTCAGTCAAAATATTAGGATCCATCTTGGTGAGATTTACCCCTGATAATATGTACGATGAATCATCCCAGCCCCATGCCTTCAGCATAAACCCCCTGATGTAAACTCGGATACCCATGAATATGATAACGAGCGCGAGGAGGGCTGATGTGACCCCGACAACTAGTCCCTGTCGATTGTCATGAGGAAGGGACTCCGGTGAGCTTGGGCTTGGAAACGGCCCTGTTGTTGTAGTGTTGAGCGCCATGACGGTGGGGATTTACGGCCGAGATGCGGTCGGGCTGGCGGCCAAAGGAGCCGTCAGGCCCTGGAAACGCTCGCTCACGACGGGAGCGAAAGGCAGCTGTTGGTCAAGCAGTTTGCTGTGATGCTTGCCAAGGCAGGATTGAGGTGCCAGAAATTAAAATACACTTTTCAAACTGGCAAATCGGACCAATTGACGATAGTTCACAGTACGTATGCACGTTGAAATGAAGAAAGGGGAAAAGAGTCCTAGACACCCAAAAGCCAGGGAGAGCTCTCCAGGTCAACACAAAATGTTCCTTGTGGCGGAATCCCAGTGGCTTGGCTGAGTTGGCGCTACTTGTTATCGACACCGGAGTTGGAAAGCAACCTGCTCTCGCAAACGCACCAGGATCGCCCTCTGCCGGATCCAGACTGAATGCGGCTCCAGACGGGAACGGACATGCCACATCACTGCCTAAAAGTCGAGGACGGTACACACAGCAATCCTCGATCACGTTCTAACGGTCTGGGATGTTCCGCTCTTTGTCCCGGCTTTTGCGAGTCCATAGTGGTCTAGAATCCATTATAGGCGTATGGAAAGAAGAGCTCCCAAGCGGAAGACTTTCAACGGACACCTTACCATTCTGCTGGAAGTGGACTTTTTATCATGGATAGTTTATGTTGAAATCCAGGCTTGAGAGAGCTACCAGACCTCGAGATCCATGTCAATATTGGGCCTATCCCGCCTTCATATGATGCTGCCTATGAGTCTTTGAAAAGAAGGTCTGGAAGCGCTTTTGAACGCAATTCTGCCGCCCAATATGATTTTCAATCATACACGAAGGGGTACAAGTGATAGCTAGATCAGTAAAACTCGACGGATATAGTCGCTTAATATCCATACAAGCACAAATGACATCTGTTATTCATCTTAATACCCATGTAGTGGCCAGGCTGCCAGGGAACAGATGGAGTGCAGCTGTCAGGTCGGTTCAGCGACCAGGGTGATCCCTAGCGCGGGGCTAAAAGCTACCCGACGTAATGACGTGCAGTAGACGAATCTTTAGTGGGATGCACGCTAACTCAAGACCGTCAGCAAACACCTTGCGCCCGCCACCGTCCCAGTCCCCAATCTGACAAAATCATCAACCAACACCCACCTCACGCGGTCGCGGTCTCCCCGCGTCCCACGAAACGATGAACGCGTCCACATGTCCCCTCACGCGCCCGACACTTCGACGACCTCGACCAGCATAGCCTTCGCCGACGAAGACGAGCCCTTTACCCCGAGACCTCTCATCCACGATCTCCTGCGAACCCGCTACTGCATCCCTGGCTCCGTCTTTCTTGTCGAGCAAATTGAGTCGCTTCCTGTCGCCCGTTCGACACGCTGGAGAGCCGTGAGACTGTTACTCGGGGATGGCGAACTGTGCATACAGGCGCTCCTGCGTGGAGAGGTGCATCGGTTCTTGGATACGGGAGCTGTGAGGGTCGGGTGCTACGTCCGGCTGGGCGAGGTGACGGTTCATTTCCAGGACGTCGCTACTGAGGACGAGGGCAACGGGAAGACAAGGCAGATGGTGTACCTCATTGTCGAAGATCTTGTCACCGTTGGATGGCATCGCGCACTCACCGAGCCTGACGCAAAGCCATTGAGGCCTGAAGCGCATTCACCAGAGGAGGACATCATTTCCGACAGCGACTTGGACATTGAAGATTTCGAACCACCGACAACACCGACCAAGGCTCACCAAGCTCCAAATACTCCAGCCCCGAGGCAACTCCCACGCCCTACTCCGAAGCCAGCTCCCAGAATGGTTCGCGAGACCGACGAGGAGGACGACGACGCTGAAGATGGGTTCGAGGTTATGCGGGTATCAGAGACGAAGGCAACACAACGCCGAGCTCAAGCAAGAAGCATGGGAGGACCGGTTGCCCTCCCACGTGACTGGACCGATCCGAGCGTCCCGTTGAAGTTGACGAACCTCAAATCCATACCAAACCTGCCCTTCAAGCAGAATTGGTCCGTCAATGTCCTCGCCGTCGTCGCCTCGCTTTCCGATGTCGAACCTTCACACATGCCGCCGCATACTCAAAGAACCGCACGATTAGTCGACCCGAGCACTAGCAAGCAGGTCATCTTGACCGTGTTTCTGGACGCGGAAAACTTTTGTCCTAACGTTGGTAACGTGGTGCTGCTAGTCGGGGTCAAGAACCACCGGTTCGACGGGGGTTGCTTGAAGAAGTATGTCAGCGACCGGCCTATGCCCGGCAATAGGTGGTGGTTCGAGGAGCCTCGACAATTCGGCTGGTGCGACGTGGACGGCCTGAAGGCATGGTGGGAGCAAAAGCAGTTGCAAGGGGCCGGCTTGGACGGCACATGACTCGAGAGAGGGGATGGTGCAGCAACGTCAAGAACGTCAAAAGCCTTGGTATTGGTTTCAGACACTACGACGGCTAGGCCGTGTTGGATCGGACTTGCGAATCCGACAGAATTCCTGACAGCTGAGGCTGTGCTGTTGTGATGCGACCTAGCACGACTATCACATTACACAAGAGAGCTTTTCCACGGGGACATGATCCGTCAACGTCTAGCTAACCCCCCACGCGCCGAGAACATTCCGTCTACCTTGCGAGGTGTTTCCACCACTCTGCATCTCCAGCCTCTTGACTCGGTTCACTAAAAGGCCCACGCAAACGGGGCCGATGATGGTGCAGAGAGAAATGGCCCAGGTCACGATGAGGAAGAGCTCCGATGGCTCCGCGGGGCTCCCCGAGCTGCCGCTGAAGATGCCTGTGCTTTCCGCGAGAGCGGAGATTAGGAAGCCGATTTCCCCGCGGGCGACCATCGCGAAAGCGAGGATGCAGGCCGGATACACGGAAACCGGCATTTCGGGCTTGGGTGACGCGTTCTTCGGGGTCGGCTCAGTGTGCCGGTCACCCAAGGGCTGGAGGGGGAGGTCCTCGGCCTGGGCCACCCCTTCTCCGGTCTGCGCTTGTTGCGCCGGTTCATTTGGGGATGATTCCGACGCGGCACTCCCGGCACATTGCGCACCAGGCGCGAGCTTCTTTGACTGTCTCTTGCCAGTCCCGGAAACTTTCTTGATGAGGCGTTGGACCGTCTGAAGGGGACTCGCGAATGAAAGCAACCAGATCCCGCAGAGCATCTTGCTGATGATCATGAGAATGGTGTAGACCAGTCCCCGCCACACGGTGGGACCTGAGAACATTCTCGTGATGGGCACAGAAAAGCCGATGGACGCCTACGTTGGTTAGCATAGATGAGAAGCAGGTGAATGACAAGACTCACAAAGAAGAATGGTTTCAAGACTCGCTCGACCGCCTGGTGATAGTAGTGCTCGTAGATTTCGCCCCCCGAGTTTTCAGCCGCCGGCGCACTCTCCGTCGCTGGTGATGGCACGGCACCGTTCGCCTCACGAGGCGAAGAATCTGATTTTACTCCCTCTTGGCTGGCACTCGTCTCAGACTGCTTAGCTGCACCTATTTCAGGCAGAGCTGCAGCATGCGGCACCTCGGAATCCCACCAGCTGACCGTAGCTCCGGCAACATACGCAGCCAACAGACTCGACGTCCCAGCAAAGGTACCTCCAATCACGAGGCCGAACAACCAGAGCGTGTGGATGACAAATGCAGTCTGCCTCTGTCGTAAAAGCCGGTCGACCCTTGACCCAGGAGTCTTCTCCCGGACGGCATTCAGCCATACTGTAGCAGGCTGCACGATGAATCTACAAGCAGCCGGGACGACCACCGCGAAGCCAAGCGACACGAAGACGGGCCGAATGACAGTAACCGCATCGAATCCGCCGCCTCCTCCGCCGAGGTTGGACACGACCTGCACCATGATGAGGCCGACAACGTCATCCATCATGGCAGCGCTGGTGAGCACGACGCCCAACCGCGTGGTCGCGAGACCACTGGTCCCGAGGACGGTGAACGTGGTGCCGAGACTAGTCGAGCAGAGCGCGGCGCCGGCTGCGAAGGCCTGCAGGGGCGAGGCGCCGACGAGGGAGCGGAGGGTGAAGGACAGACCGATGGGGACGGCGATGCCTGTAATGGCGACGCCAGTTGAGAGTAGGAGGTTCGCTTTGAGGGATTTGAAAGATGTAGACAGACCGCCTTATTGCGTTATGCCAGTCAGCGAGTATGTTCCTTACTTTGCAATTGCTGGTTGAGACTCACCTTCATAGACAATGAGAATCAGGCCGAGATATCCCAGCTGCATGACGGCGTTCTCCGTCTCCGCGGACAGCCACTGCGCGCCAGGCGTGCCCCACGCGATGCCGAGGAAGACCTGCCCGATGAGGCCGCAGTAGACGAGCTTGTCGAGGCCATAGTTGACGGTGTTGAGCAGCAGCAGGAAGCCGGAGAGGATGATGATGGTGGTGATGGAGGGCTCATGGTAAGCCAGTGAGGATGCGGATGTTGCCATTGTAAGCCATTTGGGTTGAACGTACGTCGCGTACGTTCGACGCGTGTGTGTTGAGATACTTGCGACGAGGGAGATGAGTATCACTTGCTTGGGCGCGTAGGCGGTCAGCGTCGTTTTTGATCTGTCGATGATGGCAACACGGCCCAGGGCACTGTGTCTGAACCAGGGGTGAAGTCAGGTGAAGCTGCAAAATTGGCGCGTCCTGCTTGGCGTGCCGTTGTTCACCGTGATGAGCGGCTTGGCGAGTGCGCTAAAATCGTTAATGACATGACGTCATACGTACAGGGATCCAACTGAACGGTTGCTGACAGCTCGGAATTAAGACACTTTTAGATGGACAGAAGGCCGATGTCATCTGAAACATCGATGGCTACGAGCGAATGGCTTAACATGAAGAGCAACATGTAACACGTGGTTTTGGGGTTATGAATTCCATCAACAAGTAGCATTTGACAACACATGGGGTTTATCTTCAACAAAACAAGTAACAATCAAAGGAACACAGACGAGCTTTGCGAAAATAAAAACAATCAAATTCAGACTGTTCCAGCCAGGTATAAATCTAAAATCAAAGCAACGCCCCACGGAACCAAAACCACATGCCAATGCAAATCCATAGCCCCCAAACTTCCAGGCCCGCTGCCAAGTCTCGTGTCGTCCAGCCACGGTTTCTTGCCATCGCTCCCGATGAGTTCATCTCAGTCATTTCCATACAGACAGTGAGTCATAGCCAAGCCTCGCTTCCCACATCGTACACCCAAATCACCAAAATCCTAGTGAGACGGCTGTTCATGGCTGGCGGGCAGGATGGCGGGCAAGCTGGCGTTTCTCCTCCTCCGCTTGGTCTTCTTGCCGCCGGGCGGCGGCGGCGGGGTCGCGGTGCCGTTGGCGGGCGCCGCAGCGGGCGGGATCGCGCCGCCGCGGTTGAGGCACGAGGTGTTGTCCGGGTTCGCGAGGTTGATGGGCACCTGCAGGACCTGGTTGACGTCGATGAAGTCCGGGTTCGGGATGTTGTTGAGCTTGGCGATGTCGCAGATGCCCGAGTTGAAGAGGCGCGCGATCTGGCCGAGGGTGTCGCCCTTGATCACCGTCAGGGTGATTGTGCGGTTGGCGTTGTTGACGGGGCCACCGCCGGCCGGGGGCGCGCTCGTCAGCGGCGGGGGCGGCGTCGCGGCTTGTCTTCGCGTCGGGGGCGGCTCCGTCGGGGTGGTCGCCTGGCGGGGGTAGAACATGTGCGTGAGGCCGCGGGTGATGAGGCCCCGGGGCTCGGACTGGAGGTGGGTGGTGTCTGTTGTGGGCGTGGCTTGCGCGAGGCCTGAGAGGCCAGCGAGGGCCAGGCAAAGGATTGAAGATCGCATTGTTGCTGCGAGTTTGCGTTGGTGGTGTTGAGGTAGAGATTGTTGTTGGTGTAAGTCAGCGAATGGCCGGAGACTTGAGCAGAAGTCTTCTTACACACTGAAAGATGTGGGATGCCGGGGAGTTAAGGAACCAAAAGAGTGTCCGATACCAGGGAAACTGTGGTTTAGAATGAATGGCGTGGTCCTGGGAGAGGTGAGACGATTCCCCCCTCGTCTGTCAAGACAACTTTATATCGCACATATTACCACCATCGCCTTCACCCGTAAAGTGGCCGGCCGTCCCTTCGAGACAAGGCCAGACAGCCCCGTCGTCGCAGACGGAAATGCGATTGGCCGGATATTGGGGTTCGAGGTTGACGTGCCTATCCCAGCAGCAGAAAGACCATGTCATATCCACCTCAATGTGACCTGCTTAACAGACACTAAGCCCTGTCGCCCTACGAACCCCCGCGGCGGTAGAAGACAGATTAGCGGGCGCTAGCGACATTCTTCCTGAAGAGACAACGTGGTAGCCATTCTGAGAACCGCAACGTGAGCAGGCCGCCCGCCCACGCCGAAGATAGCGTATGGTAAAGCTAAAAATATGGGGTTGGGATGGACTGAGACGGCAGCGAGCGCGGGGTCGATTGGCTGGATTGTGTTGGTTGAGTCAGTTGTCGGTAGTTGGGTGTTGCAATTGTTGCAGAGTTGACAAGGAAGAGGCGCCGAAGATGGGACAGAGGGCCCAGCAACTTGAGACGGAGCCCACCTGTTCCCAGACAGTTGCACACATACTTTTCGAAAGTTTATCACGAACCACGACGTGGTGAAGGAGCTCTCCGGCCGCCCTTCGCGAGTCATATTCTGCGCGAAAGGCTCGCGCAAGAGGCCTGACTTGGCGCGGGAAGCTCAGGCTCCCGGACGCAGGAGTTCGAACACCACCCACTCCAGGAGGTGATGCCCAACACAAATCGTTGACGAAGTGAAACGAATTCTACGGATCTCCCTGCTTGTCAAAGTCTCTCAACTGTGAGGAAGAGGCTCGCATTTCCTAGGAGATACCGTCTCCTCGGTGGATGAAGCACTGCCACCCAATGATCTGGAATGATTTGCGAATGGTCGGACGAACTAGTGCGTTTTGGTGGCCACACCAATCGCGTGTATGATCTTCGACAGGGAAAGCTTCCTACAAACCTAAATCAACCAAGCCACTCTGCTTGGCTGTCGTGGAGCCCAAAATCTCTAATTCTTATCTGTGTTGCCAAGTTGTTGTCAATCTGGTGATAGAGGAAATGGTCAGCTCACGAGGTATCCATATTGCTGAAACTGGTGACAAAAAAAACATCTCAAAGATTCTTACAATTCGAGTTCGACTCGGCGACTGCGCCTTCCGGTATTTCGGCATCGACACTTGGAACTATGCGTCTCAAATAACTCACGATATCAAGTTGCGCATGCGATGCTGGCAGATGTTCATATTTGCGATGCGATTGCATGAGCGTTGTAAAGACGAGACTCGACTTCAAGGGTTTAGTCATCTGTGAAGCGTTGTTGTGACTACAACTGCTCAGCATCAACGCCCTAGCTAATTCTACAGCCGTTTCGGCCTGGGCTTGTAGGCTCTGTACTTGTTCAACCCCCCTTGGCCATGGTAGCGCGTCGTGACATGAAGCGACCAGACGTCCATGCCGATTATCCATGCGATGCAGCCCTGAAGGAGTAGTTTCTGGTGTTCGTAGTCCTCCATAGTTTCTGTAGTGGGCATGTTCTCAGACAAGTCGATAAAGGTGCTGATAAGCTCCCGGGTCTCCGCCCCTAGTCGATCCATGGCTTCTTGTACTCCAATATCGAACTCGTTCATCATGATCCTGACACCATTATGGCTGTCCTCGCCCTTGGCCTGCTCTTTGTCGAAGCTGTACATGTCATTCTGGTTGATGATAATTCTGAAGCACATGTCCATGAGAGACTGAATCGCAGGCTCCTCCCAAGACTCGCGCCGCACCTCGCACTTGATCAGAAGAAATGCTATGCTCGGATACATGCCAATCGTTTTCTGACGCACGGTCATGTACTCATTCCGGCTGGGTAGTGCAGGCAGTCTGCGGCGAAGGCCCGCCTCCTCAACGACGCCGTCCAAGTAATCATCGAACAAGCCCCTGAAGAGTTGCCAAGACTCATTGGTACCTGTCGCAAGATATCTTTGGGCAACGTCTTTCGCCATCAGCTCCATGGATGACAGGTGGCCCGAGGACGTTGGCTTGTTGTGCACAGCACCCGAAAAGGAGAACGCGTCCTTGACTATCAAGCACTGCCTTCGGACTTCTTCTTCGTCCCCGGTATCCGTCGTCTCATCGATGACAAAGAACAGAAGCATCACTTGCGCGGCTAGAAGGCAGGAACCCTTGTCCATGCGCGCATAGTTGATGCAAGCTATCTCGGGGAAGCTGGCGGCGACGATCTTGTCGACGAAGTTTTCCGGAATTCCGGAGAAGGACCGCATCCATGTCTCGGCCTCATTCTTAACGCTGTCGGAATCTGGATGCAGCTCTACTTGCCAATGCCATCCTTTCTCGGCCGGCCAGCGGGCCAGAAAGTCGGGAATAGTGATCATGGTATCTATTCCCCTATTGTTGAATGTCATACCGGACCTTATCTTGTCGGTGTAAATTTGTGCCATGATGTAAAGTACCGAAATTGAGTATGAGGCTTCGCCGAAGAGAGGATGAATTCAAGTTGCACACAGTACTACAGTTCGTCCACGAATAACAGAGTCTACTCCTGATCTCATACTTATAGGCAACATCTATGGGTAAGTCTGGGAAATGGAACACATGCTCATTAGTTATGTGAAAGCTGTCAATGTTATCTGGTTTCACCGCTATACTCTTGAACCCTTGGAAACGATCCGCACCATGGGCCATGGCCAGCACTTGAACTGCACTCATGTAGCGCTAATTCTCGCGCAACCTTGGGCGTATTCCGAAGAAGGAAGTTGTCATGCATGGACTCAATGATTATTGAAGCGATGCGCCATAAAATGAATGTGCAGCGTTACATTGAGACGGCAATCGTGTCTTCATCAGCCTTCGTCCCGGCGCTAGTACCATGTCTTAGGATGTTTGTCGAGTTAAGTGTAATGATGGTGCTGCGAAGACAAGCATCAGTACGAGCAAGAGCTCCACTGATTATGCTGTTGGTACTTAGTCGGTTCTTCAGCGACTTGACCAATCTCAGGGTTTCCATCGGACAACTAAATCGATTCAAAAGAGACTTGATCCGCGTCGAAGAGGCCGGATTGGGCGTATCTCCGCCTACCATATCACGAAACGATCGGGGCGTCCCACCAACGCGCATGAAGAAACAGGGGTCGGTGACTAGTTCAATTCGACAGAGCTGCAACGCGTAATGTAGGGCGATAACGACGTTACTCCCAAGGCCGACGGATCGCCGACAAAGTACCCAATGAATGTACGTGGACAACCCTCGACAAGCCCTGACAACCTTTCAGGCCCCTCATAAGCCAAGCTACAAAATGGAAGCTTCAAACGTATTCAAGAGTGAGTAGTGTAGTGTTGGTACAAGATAGTCGGACTCTTTTAGTTGGGAAATAGTTTATGTGAAGGTAGCTAATGGCGGTATAAGAGATACTCAAATCAGTACAAGAGATACTAAAATCAGTACAAGAGATACTAAAATCAGTAACTAATCACGTACCTTTACGAAGGCATTCGCCATAGCTGATTGACATTGTGACCGATGATGGGGCATTCCCAAGTAAGAGAAGGGTGCAGAAGTATCAACAGCTTTCGTGAGGAAATACTAACCTACGTGTTGAAAAGAACGTGGTTCACTGTTCCATAAATATGAAATAGACAACTGGAGTACTACACCTACATCTCTATTCACCATGTCACCATTAGGTTGATTGATTGTCACAAGCCTGCCTCCGCATCTCAAAATACACCTCCGAGCGCAAAGCTCTCTTCAGTCTTACGCAATATTTGAGACCGTTCGTACCGGAACTTTGCCACCTCATTGCGATTCTAGTTCTGCACCTTCGGCAATCTTTCTGAATGTACTTGCCTTCCGCCTACTTTGGACTGGCCGTCTGACGAGAGCAACTCAACATCACGATGACTTACCTTTCGTTGTGGTTGGGGGCAATACGATGACCGTGGCCGAGCCACGAAGTTACGTGGCATGATAGATAACTCGAACAATCTGTACCTAGTTACTTAGAAATGTGTAAGCCGGAGTTGTCGGAATCGCCACAGAGGGAGCTTGCTGTGGTTGCACAACATACGCTCACCACACCGCCAAGGCCTCTACCAACCACAGAACAGTTTTTTCATTTCCTGATTATCAGCGGAAAATCCACTTGCCGAAGGCTACGTCTAAATGATGTCTCCTTTCCTGTGGCAATTGCTTGAATTGTGCCATGAAATGTGCGGCTAAGCCCCGGTGACAGACCCCGTGACTGTCGCTGAGAGCCTCGCCAATGGCCTAGGTCACCCACAAAAGCTCTACCGTAGTACCGTACTGAATAGGTGGTTAGTCTGCCTTGCTGCCCAACAAATTCTCAACGTTTTGCAGTAGTCATATTCAAAGGCTTACGATTTGACATTTAAGTCAACCCATACACCCTTGCCGCTTCTTCCAATTTTTCTCACTGCATTCACCAAGAAAAACAAAAACAGTCCACTAATCCTTCTTTCAGAGTTTCCCACCTTGGCAAATTTGTTTCTAAGAACTAAAGGTTTGCCCAGCACGTTTCTCTTGTGCGACTCCGTTGCCAGCGTAGATACAGATGACACACATACTCACGCAAAGACAGGCTTCAAATGACAACTTTCAAATAATCAACATACCGCGCGATTCCGGAAGTACCCCATACGACAGAACCAAACCAAACGCTATGGGTTTTCGTCTCAAGCTAGCAGAAATTCTCGGATCCGAGACTCTGAAGAGTATGCACGACCAGGATCCTTCTGAGATCTTAGACAAAGTCGGCGAAGCTATAACGATGTTCATTTTCTCGTAAAATGGAAACAGTGTTCGGAGGCGTTGGAACACGTTAGGCATGGTCAACGTTCGTTAGGGAAGATGCGCTTTATTATAAATGGCTGATGGTGATGCACATGAAGGGGGGCCACGTGTAAGAGCTAGTACAATCAGAGGATGGAGTTAGCGTCAGTCTTTACCACATCAATCATTTTCAAACGACCTCGATTACTTTGACTTCTACACAACCATATCTGATGTTCATAGAGTTAGGGAGTAGGCTGCTCAAGACTTTATCTAGCCTCGGCTTGAAATGAGTCAGTGGACATTATCCCTAGTCACTTAGGACCACCACACTCAACCGGCTCGGCCCGTCCCCCACAGACCCCGTTTCCGGGTGGAAATCCCGGACGAATCTTTGCTTCATGCATGATCACTCTAGTCAGCTGAATCAGCCTGGCTTCAGTACCTTGGTTATTCACTCGTAGATAAGTTACCATCCTGCAGCCCTCGTCTGATCCAGTATACGTCTGTTTGACCTGTCAAATCTGTCTCACTCAATCCATGCAAGAACTAACTTTGTATTAACTCTCGCACTACAGAAATTTTCACATGCATCTTTTAGAATCGAAATTGACTTGATAATATGTATTTCGCTATTCTGCTCATACAGGCGATCTACCCTATCCAATCGTCTAGTCGGAGTCATCGCCGAGCTGCTCGTCCTCACCGCCCGTGGCACCAGCAAAGGCCGCCGTCGCCTTGCCGAAAGCAGCGGCACGTCTCTTCTCCAGGGCCTCAGCCTCGCCCTTGATGTCGGCCGGAGCCTTGGAAACCATGACCTGAGACAGCTCCTTGCTGGCCACCTCCGTCTTCTCGACGTTCTTCTTCACCAAGCCACCAACCTTGAGCTTGTCAAACTGGGCCTGATTGGCGACCATGGAGTTCAGTTGGGTCTCGGTTAGATCCACGACGGTGCTCATCTGGTTGAGGAGCTTCTTGGCCTCATCGTCGGTAGGGTTGAAGCTCTATTCAGATGTAAGGAGCGCGTCTCACAGAGTGGGGTAAGGTTCAATGGGGACTTACTCCGTAGTCCTTAATGCCTTTCTTGATAGTGTTGCAAATCGAGTTGGACTTGGTGCCCAGCTTGATGGCATCCTTATAGTTCAAGTCGGCGCCCTTTGCGATGATCTTGTTGGACTTCGTGACCTTGCGCTCAATGTCGCTCAAGCTCTTGGAGATATCGGCGAAAGACATGATGGAATGGTGTGGTATTTGGTGTGTGTGATTGGTTGAATAGTGTTTAACTCGATGTTATTGTGTAGATTGCGTGATGATGATGATCTACATTTCTAATTAACTGTGGTGTTGAAGCCCCTTTTATCATTCGAGAAAACAAAACATCGTGATTCACATGCTATCTGATGCCTCGGATGACTTACACCACTTGGCCGCCAAACACAAAGCTGTCCCCTAGAGCATGAACGACCCAAGTCTGGGGTAGCCCTGAGCTATGACGTGTTCCCAGAGCCGCAGCTTCAGGCGCCCGGCACTTCGCGGAGCTGAGGCCAGGGTCCGGCCACGAAACATGAAACAATGCGGAGGCCGCCCAGCGATCCTCCACAGCAAATCGTCCGCAGAGCAGCCTCCACTGCCTGGGTGCTGGTGCTCAAAGGGGTCCAGCCCTTCGGTTTCCGAAAGAAAAGCCAATTCGAGATGGGACCCGAAAAACAGGTTACGTGCCAATGATCACCCAGAGCAGCTTCGAGAATAGAGACAACCTTCCCGAACATAATCATGCACAACAACTGTAATGTGCATTTCTGACAGGGAAGACGCAGGGCATGGATTCGCCGACCACTCGGCCGGCGGTCCATATGCATCGGTGCCATTGCGCACGATCGCATCATTAGTTGTTTACAGTTATTGGAAATGATCCCCATACAAAGTGTTACCCCGCTAATGCTGGGGAAGCTGAAAGAGAGAAACCCTCCTTCCCTGGCAAATGCCTAGCATTGTTTGTTTTGGCGGGCATTGTTGAGCTACTGCTCTTGCTCGGATAGTTTCCTTGGCTGGGGCGGGGCGGATACGTTTCTTCTCTGTAACCACGGTTTTACTGCCTCGGCCTGGCGGTGCTGCTTCACGTGGCTGCGCAACACCAGCCTCAACAATTCGCATTCGCACTTAAACATGTTTACCGACGGTGAGTTGATCTATTCTTAAACAGAAATCCAAATTCCGAATCGAACAACACAGCAACACATATAACAGGAATCCTTGAGTTTTAGCATTATGCCATTGCCCCACTCGTGCATCATCTGCCCGGTAGTTCAGCTGTTCCCAGAAAGGAAATTCAACTTTGCCCGTCAGCCCCGCTGTTGCTCGGAAGCAACTGTTTTGATTTGGGAGATCAACAACGAACAATTTGGATAGAAAGCCACCAATTTCAGGCCCGTAGACAAGTAGTTTCTGGATGCTGATTTCATCTTTACGTCTCTATAGATTCTGATCATTAAGGGAATGTATTGAAGATATCTGGAATCTTAAGATAATCGCAAGTCATGGTGGAGACTACGTTGGAAGTCAGAGTGTTGAAAACAATTATGATCAGAGTGATTGAAGAAACTCCTTCAAATGCGATAGTATAACGGTTTGATCGTTATCATCAACGATCAAAATGTTTCTAGCTTGCGAGCCCAGTTGGATTGTTCTGGTGGAGCCCAAGATGGTCAATAGGCCATAGAGAATTGTTGTCAACAACGTTGTGTACATTGTAACAATTGCTTTACATGAATGTCAACTCAGCTAGACAACCAACTAGTTGATGACTCAAAAGATGAAATTGTTGAATTCTGGGGCACCATGCTGGTTAGGGCGACATGGACTCAACTACTGAGACTTTGCCCTAAGATACGCAAGACATAGCGACCAGCACACCTTCATCTAAACTCTCTAAGTCGTCTCTTGAGTCTTTTGAGCATATTATGGTTCCACTGTTGCACTTGCAGGCAACTTTGCACCACTCACTATTGGCAAGAGAAAGAAAACTACCCAGCAAAGTCAACCGCGCCTTGTTGTCAGTTTATTCAAGATAGTTGACTATTTCTGCGAGACCGTGAGATTCCTTTACACAAATTGTTCTGTTGACGATGGCAATCATATTGGTGATGCTGTTGTTCATCGTCACTCATTCCTACTGGATGCTTCAATATGCTCGTTGTGTACATAGTTTCTTCTGCGCAACTCAGTCATTCTAGAGACCAGCATTGGCCTGCGAAACAAAAGGCAAAACGCCAATTGCTCTGGAACTTTTCGGAACCATCGCAAGGTCCAACTGCCTCCGTCTTGTTCCGGGCTACGGCGACTTCCGCAGGGACTTCCGTTTTGGTGCATGCGATGCGAGAGTTCAAGCGGTGGGGCGATGTTCGGCAGTGACCCGCCGGATCCCGGAGATCGGAAGAGCACATGTCAGCCACGGGGGCGGTGCAAGGCACCGAGCAAATCGGCCGAGGTGGTCGGATCTCGCATTATCTTACGTGAGAATCTACGGACGAATTGTGCTGTACCATTCTGCAGGTGTATGATCATGCTATATATCTGCGAGAAGATATGATCTGACGTATGTCTAGCTTTATGGGTGGGATTGGATTCTCATATATCGCTTCGAATCGCTCAGTTTTCACCACAAAATAAGAACACACTGCAAGAGGTGACGCCTGACGCAAGAAGGTAACTTCAACCAATTAGTAGTGATCTCTGTGATTGATGAACACTCGACTAACCAGATCCTCTCTGTCTGAAGGCTTAGTAGTTGGATTGGTGAGATGAGTCTGAGCCCACTCAGTCAACGGCAAGCGACGAGTGATCACTACCTTGGAACCGACGAAATACAACGTACGTCTACTGCGGCTCAAGATTTGGTTTCCTAAAGTTCTAGCGATACCCTCTCCTCTACGACGATGCCGGTGACCGCTCCTAGAGACATAATCCTCAGCTGGACTTCATTCAATCTGATCCTGCCGTCATGCATTCTTGCAGCCAACTCCGCTGCATTAGACGACCGGTTGGTCAGCGAGCTCCAAGACTGAAATCAGATCAGATCATTTGCCAAGACAAGAGGCTATTCAAATGCGCGGTTGTCTTTTGTTCTTGAAGGAAGCCTTCCGGGAGGCGAGCTGACGCAGGTTTGCCGCATCAGGTGTGTCATCAAGGCACTAAGACATGAATAAGCTCACTCACGTATTAGGAAGTTCGTATGCCTTGATGATGAAAGTCTCATCAAGGTGTTCATAATGAAGCAGTTGGCTCGACGTCGGCCTTCCGGAAGGAGCACTTCCAACACTAGGCAGCAGTGATCCGCTCTCATTGCATATGTGGGAATTCGCTGAGTTCACCATGACAAAATCGCCGCCGCCGATTGTGGCCACTGATCAACGCTCGGTAAGGAGAGGAAGGGCAGTGGCCGCTGAATCACGACAGTCCCCTAAGACACCCGATCAGAGTACACAATCATCGGTGACACGTTACAACACACCACGCTTATCCAGGTACAAGACAACTCAGCCGAAGGAACACATCAAATCCTTCAATCATCAGTCTTGTTGGACCCGAATAGGCAAGTGAATGTAACCCGGGCGTAAGCCGGACAATCGCAAAAGGCATCAACGATTACAGAACCAACAAGGCAAGGCGGGCAGCCGCCGTTACCGTGTGGCAACCTGACAAACTTGACATGTCTCTGATCAACACCAAACATTATCAAAACCGAGCCTCCTATTCGTCCGAACCCCATTCCACGAGGCCAACGCCACCTCATTGCCAAAAGGGCAAAAAAACAAGCTTCCAGCTCCCCGCAAATTGTCACCGAACTGTTCTGGCGTCGGTACGATTTCCAACCGAGGACAGGGTCCCCGCCTGCATCATGCATTGAGACTCCAGATACCCAAGATTACGGAAGCAAGACGGGGGGCCGGGAACCGTCGAGGTGGTGTCGAGGTAGCCACAGCTCGTATCTCTGGGACCGTTCCGTCTCCATCCAGACTTCAGCAGGCCAATTAGGCGGACGTTCTTTATCGATAGACACAGGTCGTGGTTCCGAAATATCCATGATTCTGCACCATCTTCTCTGCAGCTGTTCCGCGGCAGGGCTAGCCCGCATGGCTGGAAGGGATGTCACTCTGGTCCAAGGCGCAGCGCTGAAGCTGCACCGGGCTGGATCCCGCCAGGCTCGCCCACCCCGCGATCATCGGTGATGCTGGGAGCAAGTCCTCGGAGACCGGATATCATGGATGGGGCGACATCAAAGCCGTTCTCCATCTCAGCTGCCATTTTTGTAAGGATTATTGGAGAACATGACTGTCCAGCTCCCGGGGCCCCCATGAGTGATCTTTCTGCAATGTAACTCGCTTGCAAAGTTGCGGAAAGTTGGATTATCCCACGCGGAATAGCGGCAGGTCGCCTGAACAAGCTGATCTGGTCCAATTTACCCATGGGCCGTTACTCGGGACACGCACGCTGTACGGTGTGTGCAGGCGCGACACCGTGCTCGACGCCGTTCCAGCCGGTCCAGCGGGGACCTGGGGAAATGACAGGAGATTTACGTACAAGAATCCGTTTTTTCGAAATGGCATCGATAACCTTAAATCTCAACACTGGGGAACATACCCAGCCTGTTGGTGATGCAGGCTGTCTACAGTTGTCATTAGACACAGCTTGCTCAAAAGACCAGGTCCTTGGTCGGAGGCGTTCAATGGTCTCACTGCGACGAGAAAGATGCCGAGGTTGACGCCCGAGTCAGTGGCAACATGATTTGCTGGGCCGTCGGCAGGCAAAAGTGAATTACATCTTCCATTCTCACCAGCAAACACAACTAGCGGCATGTTTGCGTGTGTTTGGCCTTCGCCATCGCCAACAATCACGCCAGGGACCTTTTGATTGCATGGAAGGCCGATGCACCCAACAGGAAGTTCCAATCGAAAGCGTCGGACGAACCATCCCTCTCCAGCAGCTCGGGTCCAGCTCGCAGGCATGATCCAGTCAAACCAGTCAAGCAGGGCGCGGCTATCAGCTTAGAGGGACGTTTGTTCATGTCTGCAAGAGGGCAAAAGGGCGCAGATTGGGTCTCTGATCCTCTTTGCGGAGGAAGCGAAGGAACTTTTTGAATCGGTTGGTCGGTCTTGTGTCATTAACCTGACAGCCGCGATGACATTCCACCGAGCTGATTGGTGTGTCTCCCTCCGTGGATTCTCGAGGGTGGCTCTTCTGCCGTCCCTTCCGACTTCCTTCCTGAACGGTCGACCAGACGTCCCTGTCTTGCGGTCTCTGAGTGGCCGTCGTCTCGCGTGCCCTTGCAGGGGTTCGTTCGGATGATTAACTGCAAAAAGTCTTGGCCTCCTGGGAGGGAACCAGGCTAGACAGGGAGCTCCCTGGTTCCCCATAGTTCCCAAGGTCCCTTTGCACGCGGCAGATCCACTCGTGCGTCCCTTTGCATGACTTTTTGTTCGGGGAGTGGCGACGGCAGCTAGACTCGCCGTCCAATTGGGGGCGCCAACGGCCATTCCCCGATTTCCTCCCCTCCTCCCCCTCGGCCGTTGACCGTATCGCGGGCGTTGCCCACCTGTTTATCCCCCGACCTTGGTGTTCTTGGCCACCCGTCTTGGGTATTGCTTAACTGTGTTGGTCTGCTGCTTGGTGCTTCTTGGCCGCCATCCCGTGCCGGTTCGTCCTCCGAATTGTCTGCCTCTCCAGCTTGGCGCCCAGCCCCCTTGGCGATCGATCTAGCAGGCGGCTCTCGTTGGCTGAACGGCGTAGTCATTTCGTAATGTTCCTCTGTTGACCTCCGCCGACGTCCGCCGGAATGAGCTGATGGCGATGGGAATTCCGTTCCTGGAGGAGCGACAACGGAGGGCGCCGGCGGGCGGTTGTGGCAGCGGGATGGATCATTTACGCTCATGGTTCCCGACCAACCGCTCCGCCCTTAGAGCGCCACATACCTGCCACTTCTATAGTCGACATAGCCTATCAAAACGGGGTGTTGGTCATGTCATTTCCAGAGCCGAAGGATACCTAGTGGCACTGTGCTCGAGTCGCACCAGACATCGTGCCTCTCATAATATCGTCCAGTCAGCGCAAGCATCCCCCCATGATCCATCCCTATCAGCGGGTGGAGAAACGCGGAAGCAAAAGTCCACCCCCAGAGCACCACCCTCCCACATACCATGCGGCCTGTCTCCAGCAAGTCGGTCGTTCGCGGTTGTCTCGAACGCGGGACTAGAGGCATCTAGCTCTGCAGCGTGGGTGGTGCGCTGCCTCCTCATGCCGGTGTATCCTATCAATCGACATGTTTGTCTCCTCTTTCGGCACGCCCAAGGTCCAAAGTCACCGTTTTCCATCCACCCACCGCCCACCCTCCTTCTAGACGGTGGCGACGAAGCATGTCCATCTGTCCATCTGTGGGAGATAGCGAGCCAGGGGACCTTTTGCGACGAACGATTGGCACAAGCTGGGGGCGATTTCGTTAATCGGGCACGTCAGTGCGCCTGTCAAGGTAAGGTAGTGTAGTCAAGCCAACCCAGTTACCCAACCGAACACCCGCGCTGCGTTGCGCCCAGTTGAATCAAGCTTCCGGGCGCATTTGGCCGCAATATCTAGCCATTTCGTATCGGTCGATGCTCCGCCAGGGGTTGGCCCGCTTCGCAGTGCGACTCCATTAGGCAGGTCAGTATCTCGGCCCACCGACCGCCGATATGGGAGGTCGACAACGGGGTGTGGTGGTGGTGGTGGTGGGAAGGGCAAGGCGAGGCGACCGTAGATGAGCTGCGCATCTAAATACAACTCGACGCGCCGCCCTCGTCGAAGGACGTCTCTTGCTCTTGGCTCTCCAGTTGTCACGGCCAACAACCTCAACCCTCTCCCCCCTTTGAGTTTCTGTCTCTAAGAACTCAGGGCGAAACTCAAGAAACCCACCACCACAACACCAAGCCCAACAGTGAGAGAAACGACAATGGGTTTCAGCAAGTGGCGCGGCAAGGTGTCGGAGCGGCCCATCGTGGTCGACGCCGTCGCGACCGGTGTCGACGTCGAGGTCAACCCCGACGCGGAGCTCAAGAAGTTCAAGAAGATCCACAAGTGGGATCCGTTTTTGGACATTGACAAGCTCGACGTCGCCGAGGAGGCCTTGGCAACCGGCGACTACGAGAAGGAGAAGGCCGTCGAGGAGGCTCTCCACGAGGACTCTCCCTACCCCGAGGTCCGGTCTTCGGTATGCTTCATCTCTAGAAATAACCAAATCGTGAGCTATGAGACTGACTGGCGCAGGTCCAACCCTTCGACGACCCCGATCTGCCCATCAACACGATCCGCGCGTGGGTGATTGGCGCCATCATGTGCACCATCATCGCCGCCTGCAACATTCTCCTCGGCCTCCGTCGCTCCCCCATCATCATCACACAGACCGTTGTGCAATTGATCAGTTACCCCGCGGGTGTCTACTGGGCCAAGGTCTTCCCCGACAAGACATGGCACGTTGCCGGTATTCCTCTCCAGCTCAACCCCGGTCCCTTCAACATGAAGGAGCACACCGTCATCACCATGATGACCGCCGCCGGTGCCACCGCCAGTTACGCCATCGATATTCTCCTCGCCCAGGAGATCTTCTACAAGCAGTTCTTCGGCTGGGGCTTCCAGATCCTGCTCATCATCTCGACCCAGGCCATGGGTCTGGGTATCGCCGGTATCCTGCGCCGCTACCTCGTCTGGCCCGCCGCCATGGTCTGGCCCGCGACGCTCGTCACGACCACCGTCATGAACTCCCTCCACGACCACTCGTCCTCGGACCCAGCCCTTACCAACGGCTGGAGGATTGGCCGCTACAAGTTCTTCCTCATTGTGGCTGCCAGTACTTTCGTCTACGAGTGGATTCCCGAGGTGTTTGCCCAGTTCCTCCAGATCTTCACCTTTGTCTGCTGGATCGCCCCCAACAACGTCGTCGTCAACCAGGTCTTTGGTGGCCAGACCGGTCTCGGTCTCATCCCCATCTCCTTCGACTGGAGCACCATTTCCGGTTTCCTGCTGTCTCCCCTGCAGACTCCTGCCTTCGCCATTGCCAACGTCGGTATCGGTATCATCATCATGATGCTCGGCTGCATTGGCCTTGCCTGGGGCGGTCCTGAGTTCTACCGCTACCTCCCCATCAGCGCCAACTCCAACTTTGACCACTTCGCCCAGACTTACAACACCAGTCTCATTCTCACCCCTGACTTCACCTTCAACGAGACCGCCTACAAGGAGTACTCCCCTCTCATTCTCGGTCCTGCCTTCTCCCTCAGCTACGGCATGGGTTTCGCCGGCCTGGTCTCCACCCTCACCCACGTCGCCCTCTTCTACGGCAGCGACATCATCGCCCGCACCCGCTCCGCCAAAAACGAGGAGGCCGACGTCCACCTTAAGCTTATGCGCAAGTACAAGGAGGCTCCCGAGTGGTGGTTTATGGCCATGTTCGCCGTCAGCTTCGCCTTCGGCATGATTGCGTGCCAGGTCTGGAACACCCACCTGACCTGGTGGGCGTACATCATCTGCATTCTCATCGGCGCCTTCTTCATCCTGCCCGTCGGCATCATCCAGGCCGTCACCAACCAGCAGACCGGTCTCAACGTCGTTACCGAGATGATTGTCGGTTACATGACCCCCGGCCGCCCCGTCGCGATGATGCTGTTCAAGTCCTGGGGTTACATGCTGTGCTACAACGGTCTGCAGTACGTGTCTGACATGAAGGTCGGCCACTACATGAAGATTCCCCCCCGCACCATGTTCGCCGCCCAGTCCTTCGCTGTCGTCTGGCTGTCTCTTGTTCAAATCGCCTCCTACAACTTCCTCCGTGGCAACATCGAGGGTGTCTGCACCTCCACCCAGGCCCAGGGTCTCACCTGCCCCAACGCCCGCACTTTCTACAACGCCAGTGTCATCTGGGGTGTCATCGGCCCCAAGCGCATGTTCGGTGCCGGCCAGCTGTACTCCTGGGTCAACTGGTTCTGGCTCATCGGCTTCGTCTGCCCCGTCGTCCAGTACTTCATTGCCCGCCGCTACCCCCGCAGCATCATGCGCTACGTCTTCTTCCCCGCCATCTTCGGTGCCGCCGGTATGATCCCTCCCGCTACCACCTGGTGGTTGGGACAGTGGGTCATTGTCGGTCTCATCTTCAACTGGTGGATCCGTGGCCGCTTCTTTGGCTGGTGGAGTAAGTCTTATTCTTTTCTCGCTTTCTGGCTCCTTTGGCTAACTCGGCTCAGCTCGCTACAACTATGCCCTCTCCGGTGCCCTCGATATCGGTACCGCCCTTTGCATCGTCATCTCTGGCCTTGCTCTGGGTCTGTCAAACACCGAGTTCCCTGACTGGTGGGGCAACTCTGTGCCGTTTAACAACCTGGATTCCGACGGCGCTGCCGTCACGAAGATTCTTCCTGACGATGGCTCCTTCATCGGACCTTCTTCGTGGTAAACCAGCGAGACGGTATCGCAGTCGGATTAGAAGAGCAACGTTCAACGTATATAATTACTGGTGATGACAGGTACAGGATATCATCATTGCGAACCATAATGTCCTTGTAGCGTAATTCAATCTTTATGATCAATATGCCGCTTCCCGTGGATGCTTGAGTCAGACCGGCACACTAGCCCGAAAATACGGCCCCACATCACGGGCAGTCTAAAGACCCTACCCGGAGGGGATCGGCTTAATTTCTCGTGATTGGAGAAGATTGTCAGACGAGTGTATGTAGTTGACGGCTTGCTTAGCGCAGAATGCTAACATCGAGTTCTTGTCATTGGGAGAGGCGTTGCAATTGTTTCGTTTCTACACCTACTCGCCCAAGACCATCGTTCTCCCAAATCCCATACCATAAATTGATTGTATCAACCAGACGCCCCTTGCTCCATCCAAGGCCGTTCCCATTATTTACACCAAGTGACCCCAAATCCAGCTTGCCTCATATCTTCGTCACCTTAGCGGATCGTCAATCGCAGGCGCCGTAGTCGTCGAGCTCGGTGCCTCCGTCGTAGGCGTCTTCCCTCCACCAACGCAACCCTGATCTTCTTTCAGACCTCCGTAGAAGCTCTCGCGGTACGCCGCGTCCATGTACTTCTGAAAGTTGGCATCAATAAACGGCACCTCCGTATGCTCGTACTTCACATCCCCCAACGCCTTCTGCGCCGCCGCTGGCAACGAGTCCCAGCCCACCAGCGTGCGCCCAAACGCCTTGGACGCGTCACCGTTACCGAACGGGGTGATTGCATTATCATGTATCTGCATCCGCGGCCGCGTGGGCGTGTCGAGCCCGACGCCCGACGCCTCGTAGGTCGTCACCCCCGCGCTGGCCGTCTGCCACGTCGCGTGGTCCGCCGTGAAGGAGAGCCCGACGGGCCACACGGACGTGACGTCCTCGGCGTCGCAGCCCCAGCGGTTGATCCAGACGACGATGCTGGCCCAGTAGTGCCGGTGGCCCTCGTCGTTGCCCTTGCCCCAGCGCACTTTGGGGACGTAGTAGCTGTACATGATGCCGGTACGGTCCTGGCTGGTCCCGCGGCGGGCGTAGACCTGGCCGTTGCCGCCTTTGTCGCAGCCGCTTCGTCCGCCGCCGGTTGGCTTTAGGCCGGCGCTAGGTGGGGATGTTAGTCGGTGGTGACCGGGATGATGCGATGGGGAGTATACGAGAGGGTTCTGCTTACCCGAGACTTCCACTGGCGTCGACCGCGGGATAGATGTCGCATCCTCCTGAGATGTAGAGACTGGGGTTGAATCGAAGTTCGAGTTGGCCTTCCAGGCCGGGGGAGGCGTTCTGGGTGAGGGCTGGGACTTTGTCATGACCCAACCATTGATGTCCCCCAGGATCATCGCCCGCTCGCGGTAGGAGATGGGACGATGCGCCGTTTGAAAAAATGATGCAATAGCTCAGAAGGAGTGGAAGGTTGAAAGAGAGCATAGTGTCCAATGGCATAAAGAGTGACCACTGAGACTGAGAAATCAAAACATGTAAAGAGAAACTGGGGCGCAAAGAAGGAAAACATTCGACTGGTAAGTGGTCATTGGGGGCCTTTTGAGAACAGGTTAGTTATGAGAAGGCAACTAGGTGGCCGATTCTACAGCCTGGCCGGTTGTCTTTTGCCGATCAAGATCGAATCAGAGCGGTATTACCGAAGATGTAGCCTTCCACATGGCCACGGTTGTACGACGGAGCCTTTTCTCCTTAATAAAGCCAAATTTTGGCAGCCTTATTAGGCGAAGCCGGATGATTCAGTACAGTCACTGGAGATTTGCTACACTCCATACCTTACCAGCTCTAAAAGAAATGAACCCACCAAATCAAGTAGAGACCAGGGCGGAAGACTCAATTCGTCACAATAACCCTAGACGCTCGTAGGCACTTATAGGACCGGTATCCCACTTAGAACTATTCAGGGATCATGTTGTATACACTTGATAACGAGGCCAATAAGCTATTACCGCTGCACCTCGGATTCGGGTGGAGATTCGGCTCGCATAAACGTAACATCACTGCCTTGCAAGAGTCTGGCCGAACTTAGAAATATTGTCCCGATTGTAAGAAAAGCGGCTGCAAACCTTAATTGTTAATAGATCGGGCCTTGAGTCGTCTGATCGCTGCGGACAGGTTGCAGGCCACCCCCCAGCTCAAAACACTGCCAAGCTTCCCCCAAATGATTAGTTCGGCAAGTTCGACGCGTCAAGAAGTATTCCGCACATTTTGCACTGCCAACGTGAACCCTTACCCTCGGGCGCATCCGTTGTCATTTTCAACGAGACAGATTGGCCATACGCAAATAACTCAAATGAAGGATGGCTGGTCTGGTCATCATGTCGGTAATTCCGTGCTCATTGTTGAATACACTGCATCAAGAACTCATGAGAGATGCCGGTGGGCAGACAGATTTTGGCTGTTGGTGACAGGATAGGTTGCTAAAATAGGGAAATAGAGAAGAGAAAAAAAAAGAAAGATTATGACTTAAGTACGCCCCTCAATGATGATCATTTTGGACTTTCCAACTGAACTTGATCATTCGGCGCTGAAGCCCTCGTCGAGCCCCTCTCGCACCTAATTCTTACTCAACTATACACTCTTTCAGAACACCAACACTCTTTCACAATGAATCTTCTCCACCTCTTCCTCGCCTTCCTCACCTTCCTATCCATCACCTCCGGTGTTGTGATAGAAGAACCCCCCGAGGATGCGCTCGAAGAGATGGGCTACGGCGTCGACAACGCCGGCACCGAGTGGAAAGTCCGCCGCAACGGCATGGTCGTCGACAAATTCACAATCGACACCTTCCTGCGCCAAATCACCATCAAAGACGCCTGGAACGAGCTCGACACGAAGCCGCGCCTGAAGATGCGCGAGATCATGGCCCTGGTCTGGGCGCGCGCGGGGATGCCGCTGAGCCAGCTGTCGGCGGTACGTGTCGAGCGCATCGACAACGACGAGACGAAGGACGCCATCGCTGCGGCGCGCCTGAAGACGGGGTCCAAGGTGACGGAGGATATGATCGTCACGCCCGGGGAGAAGGGCTGGGCAGAGCTGACGGATTCGCCGTTCTATCTGTCGGTGGCCAAGTTGTGCCAGGAGAAGCCGGAGTTGAGGGGGAAGGGGGTTGAGTCGATGAGTGTGCCGGCGGGAACTGAGGGGAGACTTGATAGGATGCTGATAAATATTGATTAACCATCATTCGGATTGACTCACAATCGGTATGCCGTTGCATCTTGAGAATAACTTGAAAGTTACCAAGCGGTGGGGATGGATGCATGTATTGACGCTATTACTACACGAACTCTGAAGGCTAGAAACGGGCAGCAGGACACATTCCAACCGTGCGGACAACATGAGCGAGCGCTCCCTGCCAAAATAACAAACCAACAGACATAAAGACCATTGCAAGTGAGTGGGATCTGGCATCCGCACAAAACTGAAACGGCCCGGTGGCTTGTATGATATGGCTGACGAGACGTATTGCCATCTACTCTGTGAACGGTGGGGGTCAGTGATCTTATCTTATCAGCACCACGCACACCCACCGCCAGCCACCCTCAGGTCCAAAAAGCCAGCTCTTCTCCAACGCAAAACCTTTTCGTTACAACCCTTCTAGGGGAGGGCAAAAAGGGATGATCAGTGGGAGGCTTGAACTCCCGGCCTTGGCATTACTAAACATGTCAGATGACATATTAGTACCACGCTCTAACCAACTGAGCTAACCGACCTGTTAGTTGATGATCCGCTTCGGGAAAATGCCGCACATGGACCCAGCGGTGGAGTTGCGAGTCGTGAACGCAACAGAAACGGAGCAGAGACGATGCTGATAGGTGGGTACAACCAGAGAAAACACTTGAACACGGACTATTTAACAGAGTCTAAAGCCTTCGCACACTTCGGACGAATGCGTTGTCTAGACTGGGACTTTTCCGCCTCGTCTCGTGTTTGGCGATCCTAGTGGAACGCTTTAAGCTTTGCATTACGGTTGTCTTTTCAGCTGGCATCGTCCTTTCACAATTTTCCCGTCATCAGACGAAATGAGGGATGGCGTTTCTTCGGGAAGTCTCCATGATACCAGACAACATCTTTATCGTCTCGATAAGAGTTTTTGAGAGACTATCAGCTTCTCCTAAATCTCAGTGGGCATGGGCTTGGAGACTCTGGTCTTGTGGATGTGATATCCGGGATCTATGCTAGGACGCTTACCAACTCCACATCAGAAGCGCCTCTAAACACAAGGGCTTAGCGCAACATCTGTTTCAATCTCGCAACTTCTCTTCGTCATCATTGAACCACCCAACCGCGGCAATTCTAGAACCAGCGGGCGGATCACGCCAACTCTATTCACGATAGGATTTGTTTGAGATGACTGGTCAAACGATTAGTGACAGCAAGCGGTTACTAAATACAAACAGAGTTGCTCCTCGGGCGTTTCCCCTCCCCGAAACTCTCTCAGCTGGCGAAGGCCATATCCCGGTGAACTCTAATGTCTATAGCCCCCAAGCGATGGTGATGGCCCAGGTGGGATTTGGAGTTGGGCTCCAAGTCGAGTTTAGTCAGCCGAATGTGTTGCTCCAGATTCCGGCCCCCTCACCTCTCCCCCGGTCGTCCCCCCGGAAATCTCTCCTGAGTCCATGTCGTGGCCCCATTCACCCAGTCCACTATTCAATCCCAGGCATTAGCGGCGGTGTTCCAGGCCTTTCACTCGACTCCATTTTCACACACTCTCTGCCGGTCTCTCGTGATCATTGTCACTGGCCTCTAAGCTCACAAGTCGAAAGCCGCCGGTGTCCCGCTACGCCCGCCGCAATGCCGCGCCGGCGAGATCCAACAAAGCAGGTCTCTCGCCGGAGCCACCGCGGCTGCCACCGCTGCCGGCTGCACAAGATCCGCTGCGACGAGGCAAAACCTCACTGTGGGCCGTGTACCTCCCGTGGCTATCCCGACTGCGTGTACGCGCAGATCCTCAAGTGGGAGACGGACTACGTTGGCCGCGCCTTTGGGCGAGCCGGCGTGTGGTCCAAGTCTGGAGCCGCCAGCGGCGCTGCCAAGAAGAAACCCGGCGCAACAACGCCGCCGACCGCGCCGGACCCTTCGTACTGGAGCCTACCCACCCGCGTCCACTCCTTCGGCTTTCTCAACACCTTTATCACAGATTTCGAGGGCGAGGAGTCCTCGTCGTCGTCCAGTGACGACAGCTCCAACGACGACCGCAAAAACACGGCGCTCACGCTCAGGCGCAACATCAGCCATCTCACGCGGCCCGTGACTTACATCAAGCTTGACAGCAGGGCAGAGTCGCATTTACTATCGTACTACCTCGATCGCATCTGCCCGATGACGGTGCCGTGCGCCAAAAACGAGTCACCCTTTTCGGCCCTCATTTTTCCCTTTGCCGTCTCATCCGCCTCCCCTGCTCTCATGCACGCCCTCCTCGGCCTCGCAGCATCACACCGCGCGAGGTCAGACGCCAGCTTCCAGCCGGTGGCCCTCAGCTACTCCGCCAAGGTCATCCGCTCGCTCCGCCTGACGCTGGACAGCAAATCTTCAATCGACATCGCCGCAAACTCGGAGATCCTCGTGTTGATGATGCTGTTGTGCCAGCTGGAAATCATCGCCGAGTGCGACAAGCGCTGGGTCACCCACCTACGCGGCGCGCGCGATCTCATCCGGTTCCGGCGCCAAGGCCTGTCCTCCGACGCCGCCCGCGTGGCGGCGCGGCAGCAGAGCCCGTGGGAGCAGATCATAAAGTTCACGGAGCGCTACTTCGCCTTCTACGACGTGATGGGGCGGACGGCGTGCGGCGAGGAGCCCATCTTTGGCAACGACTTCTGGACGACGCAGGAGGACGAGCTGGACCTCTGGATGGGCTGCTCGCCGCACCTCGTCAGCATCATCGGCGAGATCACGGAGCTCAGTTTCAAGTACCACCGGCTGTCGGCGTCGACGGCGGAGGACTGCTGGCAGGACCTGGAGAGGCAGCGGATGCGGCTGATTGCGATGCTGCAGCAGCCGAAACTCAAGTCTGACAGCGAGGATGAGATTATTCGCACATCCGTTGAGATGAAGCGGTCGACTGTGGAATTGTACTTGCACTCCGCCCTCAACGACACGAACCCCGCCACGCCCGTTATTAGGCAGAGCGTGAAGAAGATACTGCGGCTCGTTGCGACGCTTTTGAGAGCGGACCTCAAGGCCGGGCTTACATGGCCTCTTTTCATGACTGCTTGTCAGCTGGATCCTACAGAAGAGCTAGAGTGGGCCGCGGAAGATCTTGGCGATAAAGAGGTGCCTCGTCACGCACGGCCTTTCATCTTGTACGCTCTGGACAAGCTGTCGGATTCCCTCTCAAACGTCACAAGAACAAGGTTCGTCATTGAAAAGGTGTGGAAGCAGCGAGAGGCTGCGTCGTTTCTATCTTCAGATCGACAGCTGTCGCCCAGTCCAAAAGCGTTCAACGACTGGGCTCGTTTTGTCGCGCCGCACTGCCATAACATCAGTCTCGCCTGAGCGTGTAACTCAGACTCTTCTATGTGAACTTTGGTCTCAATTCTGGAAAGGGGCGCTTTGCGTGGAAAATAACAGAAGATTGTGCACAGTTTCGCCTGTTTTTGTCAATGAAAGCGTTGAAATTCGTGGGAATCGTTATATTAGGAACAGAGTACGAAGCTGGAAAATGGGTATCTGCGTTGCGGAAAAGCCTGGTTTTGTTCAGCCCCAGAGATTATAGGAAAATAAGCTGTATCGAATAGCAAAAATAAATTTTCTTATGACCAACTGGCTGGACCGAAAGTGCCGTTGGTGGGAATCGCTTTCAAGGGGGTGCCTTGGCCGTCGATCGTTGATTTATTCACGTTGTTCCCCCACCAGCTGAGGCTGATGCCGGGGAACACGAGGGCGAAGAAAATGACAATCGCTGATATGGCCAGGCCGGAGTCAAGAGCTGCAGATAAGACGTAATTATACTATTGGTGTATGGTTAACACGGGTCAAAGTACACTCAACCCTTGAAGTGCGTAAGAGGACTCACCTTCGCCCACCACTGCGGGTATTTCCCCTTGAGCCACTTGTTAAAGATGAATGATACCGCGAAAGCTGACGTGTAGTTGAGACCGGTCGCTGGAGGCACATTTCCAGTGCCGGCGAAGAAAAGGGGCCAGTGGAGGTACTGGAGGAATTTGTTGTTCGGAAACCGTTTCTTCAGGAAGAAAGTGACGATTGGAAGCAAAGCACCAATCCAGAAGAGGTGCAAGAACCCAGAGTAGATCTTGCCGACGCTGTATAAGCGAGCCGGTCCAATCGCTCCCCAAACAATGCTCGACGAGAAATTGACACGCCCCTGCGGGCAAGTATATCCGTTCGGCTGGTCTTCCTTGCAGATTCCATTGACGTGGTTGAGCATCCAGAGAAGAACCGCGTTCTGCGTCAGCGAGCCGACGACGCATGCCGTCAGCTGCGCGATGAAGAGCGTTCGCCGAGGGATCTTCATGTACAAGCCAAGCTTCATGTCCGAGGAGAAGATCATTGCCTGGCTTAGGCCAGTGTACGCATAGAACTTGAAGATGAGCATGACGATCGGCTTGCCAGGGATGAGATACCCCGAGATGATTTCGCCTAGAACGGTCAAGACGTTGCTGTTGAGGTTGGCCACCGCGTAGACGCTGCCCGTCGGGATGAGGTAGACCATGGCGAGGCCGAAGGCGACGAAGATGCCCCAGACCGGCATCTGCGTCTTATAGACCACCTGCACGACGATCGAGAGGACCAAGACGATGACAGTCAGGATTGCGTACCACCACCACGGCGTGTCGGGGTACTTCTCGATCAGGCGGGCGTGGATGTCCTTCTTCCTTCCCGGGTTGAAGGCGCCGATTATTTCCTTGTAGTGGTTGATGAAGATGTACGTCGGGACGCAACTCATCACGGCGAAGGAGATGCCGTAGCTGAGGGCGAAGGTGACTGGCATGAAGAGGGGACTGTATTTCTCGTACTCCTCGACGATGAAGTTTCCATCTTTGCCGACGACGCGGGTTGCGTTGTAGATCTTTCCGGTGTTGTCGTATGTGTCGGCGCCGGAGAAGGGCAGGTAGGCGGTGTACCAGGTGTTGGTGTAGTAGAGGATCGGCGTCACGAGGGCGAAGAGGATCACCCAGCCGGCGAACACGTTGGCCTGGGCCCAGAACGGAACGACCAGGGGCGAACCGTTATAGGCGATTTGAGACCAGTCGAATGTGGTGGGCAGGTAGGCCAGACCTGTGGACATGCCGAATAGATTATTGACCACCACGTTATCTAAGTGAATTAGCAAACTTCGTTACTCAATGATGAGCATTTACACACTTGGAGCCGCCCAGCAGATGAAAGCGAATGTGCTTAGGCCAGTGAACAGGTACCCAGGGAGCCAGTACCAGAAGAAGCCACCGATGAAGACATACAAGAAGAAGCGATACCTCGAGATCCTCCAGCCGTCAGCAATGGGGTTAGCCCTTCCGTGGAGAGTCTGAAACAGCGCCGCGTTGGCCAGAGTCGAGGGCCAGATCATGTGAGGCGGCTCTACGATGAAACGGTACGCCAGTCCAGCCATTCCAAGACCAAACAGCTGCATCGACAGACCGAGCAGGAACTGATACGAAACCGGTGTGTCCAGCCCATAGAACGCCGATGCCTTTTGCGCCTGGATGATGTCGGTAGCCCACGACGGTCCGAAGGACAGGTTAGACATGATGGTGATGACCGCATGCTCCTTGATGTTGAAGTAGTGGTCCGGGTTGATGACGATCTCCCGCCCAAAGACGCAGACTTTCTTCACCGGCAGGACGCGAGCGACGGCGCAGCCGACGGGATAGGCGACGAGCTGGGCGACGAGGGACGAGATGGTGACGCCAGGGTAACGCATGGAAAAGAACTGGTTGATGCCGGAGCCGACCATGGTGAAGAGGACCCCGAGAACCCACATGCGGAGCGTGTTCACCGGCATGGCGACGTCGTCCGTGTTAGGTACGTTAGCGCGGACCTCTGGGAAGGGCGAGTTGTCCGAGTCGATGTCGAAGTGCTCCTCGATCTCGCCGATGGCGTAGGTCATAGACTTATCCGGGTCCTCCACGTCGACGTCCTGCGGTGCTTGCGCCTGCTGGAGCGAGGGCACTGAACGCGCCTCGGCCAGCTTCTCGCCGGACTTGTCTGGCGTTGCGGCGGACATGGCGAGCAAAGAGTGACTGGCGCAAGAAAATAAGGCGCAACGAGGGACTGCTGTTGAGAAGGGGTCGAGATAACACGAGGGCGGCTTTATGTTGAGACCCTACCGCGTAGAGTTGGTCATTTGCCGAGGTGCTCGTACAAGACGCCTGAACAGTGTGGTATCCTTCGTGAACGACCTTCCCCAAAAACCACCGATCTGCAAAGTCATCCGTTTATCATCCCCTCATACCCGCGAACACCACCAAAACTAGACCCCGCAGTCCAGATAACCATTTTTCCCACTCGTTTCTCCATGATACACACTGGAACTACCCGGGTGATGATGACCAGGGGAAGGTCCAAGCTATCTGCCCAGCATCCCGTAGTGGATCGGGCAGCACGTCTTCAGGGTCCAATTGCAGTGGGAATCGCGAGTAATGCGGGCCTGGAAAGCTTGTTCGCGGGTCAGGGTCCCCCGGAGTTTATCTCCGAAGCCGGTGACGGTGAGGAGAAGAGGAGTCGAAGGGGAAGGTCCAAGCCGGCATTGCCCCCTCGAAGATCAGCTGTTTAGACGCGTGGTCGGTCGCTAGACGCTCCAATTACTCGATAGTGTGAGCTTTTGGTGACTGTGCGTGAGGGGAAAGGAATTGAACCAATCACAGTATGATTTTTTGACATAACTTGACCTTGACAGCGTTGGACCATATGTGAGTCCGTATTATTTTCGGGCCTACGTCTTCCTTGGTACGCAATTCGGTGTGCGTGTGACTCGGACATTGCTGCAATTGCATCTTCATAATCTCATTTTGTTCTCTTTGCCTCAACGTAATCGTAATCATTCGTAAGCCATGGCGGAAAGCCCTCTGACGAAGGACTCGAGCATCGTCATCATTGGCGCGTAAGTTGCGGCCCTCATGATTCGGCTGTGAAGGAACTAACACTAGCAATGAAGAGGCACATTCGGCATCAGCACTGCATACCATCTCGCAAAGCGCGGCTACACCAACATCAGATGCATCGATCGCCACCCCGTCCCGAGTCTGGACTCGGCAGCCTATGATTTGAATAAAATTATTCGAACCGAGTATGATGAGCCTCTTTACACCGAGTTGGCACTTGAAGCCTTGAATGCTTGGAGACAACCGGAGTGGAAGGGAATTTTCCACGAGACTGTAGGGCATCTCAAACTGTTGCCAGATATGACGATGTTTCTCTAATTACTGTCTCAAGGGCCGACTCATCACAACTACAGGAGACCCTCAGGCTGAAAAGCACCTCAAAGAGTCCTACGAGAACCTGAAAAGAGCCGGGCAATCTGGCAGCCTTGAATTTGTCGAAAGCAAAGGCCAAATCATCAAGCTTGTCCCTCAACTTGCCAACGCACACGGAATCGAGGACTGGAAGGGCCTGTGGAACAGCCAGGGAGGATGGGCGCACTCGAGAAAGTCTCTCGAAAAATGGGGTATAGAAGTCTTAGATCTTGGGGTCAAGTTCATCTCGGGCGCTCAAGGCACGATGACTGGGCTTCATCTCGATGGATCTGGTAGACTGGACGGCATCCAGGTTGCGTCTGGCGACATCGTTCGCGGAGATCGATACATCTTGTGCACGGGCGCTGCGTCTCCGGAAGTCCTGCCCGAGTTATCGCAGGAGCTGTGGACTAAGTGTTGGACTCTGGGACACGTTGAGCTCACTGAAGAAGAGGTTTCCCAGTGGAAGGGCATTCCGGTTGTCGACAACTTTGAGTTGGGCTTTACCTTTGAGCCCGATCCTGAGACTAGTGAGTTTTGCTACCTTACAGAGAATGACTCGCATCTAACATGGCCACAGGATGGATGAAGATTTGCGACAATAACCCAGGTTACCAATACCGCCTCGGTACGTACACGGATCCGTCTGGCAACGTCGAACAGTACTCCATCCCCCGATACGCGAGCACGCATCCCGAAGACGGCATTCCCGAGGAAGCTGCCAAAGCCATCAATCGCTTCATCGACGTGGTGATGCCGCAGTTCTCGGGGCGACCGCTTCTGGGCGCGAGAGTGTGTTGGTGCACCGACTCGCCGGACGCCCACTGGCTGATCGACAACCACCCCAAGTATCCATCCCTCCTTTTGGGGACTGGCGACTCGGGCCATGCGTTCAAGATGTTTCCTATCATTGGAGACTATATTGCCGACGCGTTGGAGGGAAAACCAAGGGGTTTGAGAAAGGAGTGGAAGTACGGAAATAGAAAGTCGAAGCCAGTTGCAACGCGACCAGACACAGAAATCAAGGATTTGAGAGACGTCCTAGACTTAAAGGACGAATAAGAAGAGGCTTTAGGTATCGCTGGAGCCTATACAATTCAACCAGGGAATCGCTCCATAATGTTGAAAAGAGACAGACAAAGGAGAAATCTATACGCTAAACGCAGATATATGTCCTGAATGCTGAATCCGCGTCCATACGTCTTCCTTACTCCACCATATTAGATCAGGTCTTCTCATAGTCAACCTTGGTTTCAAGTTCCGTCGTGACCGTGATACCATGAAAGCTCGCCATCCTCGTAGGCCCCTGCGACCCCTGCCGCGTGCTGCTTCCCTCAGCTGACATGATCTCCCCCGCACTATCGATGCTATTTGCATCCATATCCATCGTCTTGGATTCGATGGTAGTCAACAACTGGCTCGTACGGTCATTCCGGAACGCACTCCCAGACCAAAGCTTCGTAACGTCCTCATCCGACCCGGCCTTCGGCATCTCGTGCGACGACAGCGACAGGTCGTCGTGCGAGTGCAGCTCGTACGCCTCCGACTGCACGTTCCGCCGCTTCCTGTTGTTCTCCACCGTCGTCGAGTAGGGCATCGACGTCTGGTAGTTCTGGTAGTTGGCGTTCGACTTCTTGCTCGAGCCGGTGATGTGCGAGTGCACGAACATAGGCAAGTACCGCATGAAGAAGGGCTTCAGCGCGGGGACGGACGCGCAGATGATGCCGGCGTTGACCTCGACGGAGGCCCAGTTGAGCTGCTTCTCGACGTCGCGGGTGAAGTCCTTGCTCTGGAATAGGGGTGGGAGGAGGATTGTCCGTCGAATGGCGCAGAGGCAGACGCTGGGGGCGGGTTAGAGCGGTCGGACCAGGGGGTTGCGATGACTTACAAGCCACCGGTTGCGAACAACGCGATGAGGGACCACTTTTGGCGCTTTGGCATTTGGAGAGGGATGATGATCTTGAGGGGGAGAATGAGGCACACAATGTCCATGATGATGTTCGTTGCGGCGAGGACAAGATACAACGTGTCTTTGCTAATGCACGTTGCACCTTGTCTGGCAGAGAGATCCCATGATGCCTGGATCGGTCTGCAACTGAGCAATATTAAAAGTAGGTAAGAGATGGCGTATGCTGTGGTGAAACCGATGAAGGTTATCACCACTATTCTGAATACACGGTCTGGTGAGAGACGAAGGTAGAGAACGAGCAGCGACATCTTGGCTGTTGTGACGCTGAGCGAGTAGACGGCTATTGCTATCAAGCTGTACTGCATGGCTACAAGTCAGTCGACAAATGCCCCTGTTCGAGGTTGGCTGGGAACGCCAACTCACGAGTAGAAACCAAGGCGAGTAATCCGCCCGCCTAACCTGCCAGAGGTGAACACCGACGCCCAATTCGCATACTAAACGGTCAGATCTCAACGCACAGCAAAATCGCTATCGGGTCACCCACATTCAATCGACAAGCCGTAGAATACAATAGCAAGTGAAAGAGAGACGGCAATAAAGTCTGGTAGCCAAGTGTTAGCCTTGGCAAGGACGTGCGTCATTCACCGGCCCCAAGACTTACAATCGTCGGCACCGAGCGACCTCTTGACCAGAGATAGCCTCGTAAATATCCGCAGCCCGACAAATATGACCGAAATCGACGTAAGAACGCCGCCCAGGACCAACGCGCCCGTCGTAATGGTCCCGGCATCGAATCGACCCTGGCCGTCTGGCGCATCGGCCATATACTCGGGGTCGGAGGAAGCCATCTGCTCGTCGTTGGCGACGACCCAAGCCCGCGGAAACCACAACAAAAATGAGAGGTGTATGAATGGGGACTCGGGAGAGAGTATGACGGTCTCGGCCGGGATCGTGTTTGATTTATTCATGGAAAAGGCCAATGTTGGGAGGGGTGTCTCGGCAATCGAGTGGAATGCGCAGGTCCACAACAAGCATTTGTGACGGCATGAGACCGGGGGAATTTCCGCGCTGACAGGAAATTGACAAGTAAACGGCACTTTCAGGTGAATACGTAGCTGCATTCCAGTTCTGAAAATGAATGAGAGCGTTTGCGCCCAACATGAGTGGCTACCATCTTCACATAGTCCCCGCTTGGGATGTGAGGGGCAATGAATCTGATGGGAAGAAGCAAATTCTTGGTAGCGAAAAACAAAATGTCAGCTAACCTCAGATGAACTACTAAATTGAAAAGTGACAACTGACATGTGCGGGTGGGGTTCTTGTCGTTCGCGAAGAACTGAGACTCGAAAAGTAGGCATATCTGGACCTGTCGGGACAAGAAAAGCAAAGAAACAAATTGGGTGCAGCTTCCCCCGTCGGCAGGCATCCCGGAGATCTTGGCCATCTGCCAGACCCAGCTATGTCCGTGGCCATTTTGAGACGTCGAGTCGGTGTCTTTTTGATGAAATCCCCACAATCCTGCGCGTGGCCGAATCAAAGCGACGGTGCCGACGTGAGGAAAAAGAAAACATCGTGGAGATCCAACAAACAGATTGTGTCCCCGGGCGCAACTAGCAACTAGCGCCTAAGGTTGCGGCCGCCCATTTAAGTGGCCTAGCACAAGTCTGGGCATGCAGCGGCCGTTCGATTGAACCCATGAGACCGCCTAATTTTCCTGTGCCTGCGCGGCTATATTTCCTGCGCACTTAAACACCTCTATCGAAAACGATAGTAGTGGTAGCTATAATAAGGACGAGGACGAGGATCACTATAACGATAATAATAACGAGGGTAGAAGTAACGACGATGATAAAAGGAACGATGAAGACGAAAATAAAGACGACGGCGACGAAGACGACAGTAATGTAGATAGAGTATGGCCACAGAAAAAGTAGTCGGTCTAGCAGAGGAAAAATAGGCGGTGTCAGAATCCATTTGCTATTAGAAAATTGTTTCTGGGATACTTCAAGACCAGACAATCAGCCCGGAAAATTGACAGTCCGTCGTGAGAAACCTACGAAGTCGATTCCAACGTCGATGTTCGAGCCTCTAATGATATGTGCCGTGGCTGTCAAAACCGCACTTCATCACATGAGTGATATTGCGCGCAATGCTAAAATACCGGTTCTGATGGTACTTGCGCCGCCAAGGACAAGGCAACCGAGGGCTGCCGAGCCAATACACGAATTCCCGTACTCCTCCCACCGGACGCTTGCCGACGACATGTCTCGATATCTACTTCCTCCCATTTGACAGGCCAACGAAGGCCTCATACCCACTATGCTAACAGCTTACGCCCATATCTTCACCAGCGATACCCGAATTATACTAGACTTTGCGAAAAATATTTATTTGGACTTGAAATGAACGTCAATTACGCCTGGAAACACGGTACACCCCGCTGCGTTCTTAAACACTGAGATACCTTCAAAGGCTGTCGAGTGAGATGCTGAGGCGCCAAGACTTTGGGGCCAAGCTTCACAGCCAGGAAATCACAGTCTCAGGGAAAGCCGCAGAATCTCGTTAGACGGGGGCGCGCATATGCACAGCCATGAAGACGCTGGTCACAGCGATTAAGGTATTAGATTGGCCAGTAGGAGCGTGTGTTGATTAATGTCTCATTCGACATCTATCTTCCTGGCACATTGGAAGAAATGCTAGTATTAAAAATCTGCCGGTTAACAATGCAAAGTCTTCAGCAAGCCGCATCTATAAAAAAAAAAAAAAGCGGCTGCAGGAGTTGAGAAGGCCCGTTCACATTGGATCCAAGCCGGCGGGCCGACAGAGTGGGGCCGACGGCATCGGTACTCCACCCGGGGAACCGAGAGTCTCGGGGCCACCGGATGAACCAACATGAGGTGACAACGAGCGCAGACGGCCCCCATTGAGCTATCCCCATCTTGGCTGTTTGTTCGCCTTCGATTCAACGGCGCTTAGATAAGGGCCCAATTGCGTGCGCCATTCGGCCCCCCTTTCCTCCCGGCCCGGTTGAAGATGCTTAGAGACGTTGGAACACCCCGCATGCATGCGGCGCAGTCCAACCACAACCACCATCGCGCCCCTGTACACGAGCGGGGTGGCGCCGCTGGACGGCTGGCCGGCATCCTTGCAATGGGAACTCTCCCTCCGAAATATAATGGGCACACCCATCTCAATCGCGTTTCTTACCCCTCCTCGCGGCCGAACTTCTTCAGCGACCTGCCTGGCTTGACGTACTGAGCTCGTCTTGATCAGACTGACTGCTGCGAATTAGTGGTGAAGATGGCCGAGGCGCTGGACTTGACGCCTTTGGAGCCTGTCAGTTGAACCATGTCGGTCTGCCCTACCTTCCTTCGCTAACGTCAACATGGCGATAACCAGGCGAACGATGATAATCGCTTGGAAACGGCATCCGAGTCGGACAGTGTAAGCTGTGTTGATATCTCCACGCCGTGATGGGGCTTGTCTGACAACAGAAATTATCTCAGACCGGCTCATCCCTCGCATCCTTGAGGTCCAGCATTCGTGAACATCGGCGAGAAAACGGCCGTAGATACCACTCTCTCAGTGATGGAAGTAAGTAACTTGAAAGCCAAGAAAGACAGCGGAATGAGAGAAGTCATCAGCTCTATAGACTGACAATTTTGTCTTGGTGTCCCAGCATATGTTCTGCCCAACGACGAGGTGTGTCCGCCCCGAGATTGAGCCACATGATCCGGTTGACTAACCCCAAATGGCTTTAGCAAGAACAAGAGCGCCTAGGTGAGCATGGAGAGAGCGAAGGGTTGACGCCAAGCACAACCCGGCTAACATAAACCTCAGAACTGAGCCATCGAGTATGGGAGCTGACTTGGCAGGGCGATCTGTGCAGATGTCCCAAGAACAAGTCCGCCAAACGGGTCCTGGACTTGGGAACGGGCACGGGTATCTGGGCAATCGAGTTTGGTAGGTTGTTGTCAGGATCAACACCCAGTCGCCTCTCCAGCTGACAAAAGCCCAGCGGATGACCACCCTGAAGCTACGGTTTGACACGCCACAAACTTCTCTTCAAACCATAGCTCACAAGCACTCACCCCTCTCTTAGGTCATTGGCGTTGACCTGAGCCCCATCCAACCCGGCTAGTAAGCAAGGCGCCTTTCAAACTGCGGATGTCTCTACCACGATTCTGACTCCTCTGTTCTCAACAGCGTCCCGGCCAACTGCAGCTTCGAAATCGACGACATCGAGAAGGAATGGACCTGGACCATCCCGTTCGACTTCATCTTCGTCCGGCAGATGAACTCCTGCTTCGCAAGCTGGGAGAAGATGCTCAAACAAGCTTACGAGTAAGGCCTCTCCACATCCCTTTTTGTTTTCCCATTCCACGCCTCCAAAACCAACAACGCAAACAGCAACCTCGAACCAGGCGGCTACATCGAGCTCGTCGACAACAGCTTCCCCCTCGACTGCCAGGACGGCACGCTGGCCCCTGGCTCAGCCCTCACGCGGTGGTCGTCGCTCCTCATGGAGGCCTGCGCCAAGATGGGCCGCCCCGTCACCGTGCCCGCGCGCTTCGCGCAGCTGCTGCGCGACGCGGGTTTCGAGGCCGTCGTCGAGGAGCGCCGCGTGTGGCCGCTGCACGAGTGGCCCCGGGACCCGCACCTGCGCGAGCTCGGGTATTGGGTCAACGACAACGGGCTTGAGTCCGTCGAGGCCTCGGCCCTGGCGCTCTTCACGCGCGTGCTGGGCTGGACGCGCGAGGAGGTGTTGGTGTTTTGCGCCGAGGTGAGGAGGGAGCTCAAGGAGAAGAAGGCGCATGCGTTCTGGAATATGTAAGTTATGTCTCTTTCTCGCGCCCGCTTGAGGAGCGCGGTTTGTATGATACTAGGTACTGAAGCTGATCCCTTTTCCTTCTTTTGCAGATACTGCGCGTATGGACGCAAGCCATTGAAGGAGCAGACCCCCGCCGAGGAACAGACTCCTGCCGCATGACTGGATAGTAGCATGTCACCTCGTGGCCGTTGCAGTCGAAGCATGAGATCGGGTGTTTTTTCTTCTATGTGATATTGTAACTAGCGATACAGACTAGCCATACAGATATCCAACCTTCGTTGGCATGAACTGAAGGGCAACGCAAACTGAACGTTCGTCCCAACCCTGTCCACCTTCAATAAACACCCGGCACAATAACCCACCTCTTCCCAACCTTCTCCTCCCCAAACCTCTCCACATACCATCCCCTCCCGCTCCTCGCCCGCGGCAACATCGCCGTCACCTCGTTCACAAAGAACGCCCGCCCGGGCACCCCCCACCCGCTCGCCATCCACCACCCAAACCACTCCACCCACTCGAGGAAGTAATGCGGGAACAGCACGTACCGGAACAGCAGCGCGTCGGGAAGCCGGTAGTGCTTGTCCACGCTCACCTTCCCCTCCAACCCCTTGGCCCTCTGCTCCTTGACAATGCGCTCCTGCCGCCGCATCTCCGCGCGGCGGATCTCCCGCAGCTCCTCGTCGTGGAAGTAGTTCCCCACGAGCCCGACGTAGAACAGCCCGATTCCGGCCACGAACTGCGCGACCCCGAACGCGCCGAGCTGGCGCTCCCACGCCGCCGGGGTGGTGGGGCCGTAGGCGGCGAGCCAGCCGCCGATGCAGGTGGCATTGCACAGCTGGAAGCCCAGCGCAGAGAAGGCGACGGCCGGGTGGATGGGCGACATGGAGGGTTGGATGAGGGGGTAGAGCACGGCGCGGTAGCAGTAGTGTATAACCTGTAGGTTTCCCACATCGTCAGTCAAGCGTGGGTGAGAGGGAGGAAGATAGAGAAAAGAACATACAAACAGCCCAGCGAGGACTTTGTTCTGCCACGGCAGATCCTCAACGCCCATCTTCCCCGGCAGCGTGAACATGATGTACAACAACGTCGTGAACCCCGGCGCCTCCATCAGGAACCACGCGACGCGCCCGGGTATGTTGAGCCTGCTGACGACGGACGTCTTGCCCATGCCGTACCACGAGATGAGGTACTGCATCGAGCCGATCTGCAGGTCACCGACCTCTCGTTAGCCCATTGTGTCTCCTCTTTCAACAGGAACCATGCGTTCCACTTTCCATAGACCTAGAGTGTAAAACGGGCGGAAGGGGGAAACGTACGATCGGGTAGGAAATCTGCCACACCGTCGAGAGAAGCTGCCAGTTCTCCCGCGTGGGAGGAAGCCACCCTTCCACGATGGCCATGGCTGCTGCTGCTGCTTGCGGTTCGCGCCAATTGAGCGATACTAAGATTATGTCTTTGTCGCCTATCGAAATGCAAAGGGAAATAGGGCTTGAAGGGCGGAACTGAGCTTGGTTTGGATCCCCGGTGTTGCGCTTCCCCGCCGTGGAGTCAATGACGCGGTAGGAATTGAGCAGGAGCTCCGGCAAAAACATGGGACGATGCAACAAACATTACGCTCTCGACCCCTGCATGTCTCCGACCGCCTTCCTATCCCAAATAAGAGGAGGTGGGGTCCAGCTGGCGTGCCCCTCAAATCGGGAGCTTTCCGCAGAGCTCCCCCCTGCATCGAATCCCGCAGGACGATCCCGTCACTCCGATGGAGCAGAGCAAATCAACGCATGCTATTCATAACCTCTTCAATTCATGACCGTAGTGCCTAATTATGGAATCCAACGCCGCCCGCTGAGGAAATTGTGTTTGTACAACAAGGGGCATGCAGCCTCGCGTGAGAATCGCGAGGTGCCAATGCCTGCGTAAATATGAATGACACCAAAACGCCTCCATTCATGAGTGCCTGTGGCGCTTTGCCTTCACATAACGATGCAGTCCCGTTCCCTTCCGCCCGACGAACTTCCTACCACGCCTCCAGGGCCCATCACCCGGCCTCGTCCACCGCCCATAACCGGCCGACCGGCCGGGAACGACGGACCAGCGCCACTTCCTTGTCGTCCGGCCACCGGGCTGCTGGCGTGGTGGTGCGGGTGGCCAGGTGGTGGCTCGTACTTGGCAGCCGCCTGTGCCTGCTCATAAGTAGGCGGTGCGTCCTCCAGTCCCTCGTCGGCCGGTCGGTTCACCCCCTGTCGACGGACAGGAACTGTTGGAGGAACGAGTGGTCGGATCATTTGCGGCGGTTGACCTGGCTGACGACCCGAAGTCGGCGGTATTGACGTGTTGCCGTTCGAGTTGCGCCGGCTGCCCTGCGATGACGCTACGTTGCTCGTGCTTCGATTCACTCCTCCGCGGACGGCCGCCCTCGTGGCCGCGCGCCTCGTTGTGGGCCCTTGCTGGACACGAGCTTGCTGTTCAATGAACTGCTCGCTAAGCTGACTCTCTCTCCGACGCGCCGCTTGCTCCGCACGATGCCGCTGCTCTTCCTCCTCCTGAAGCTGAAGCGCGAGTGCAAGATCCCGATCCTCCTGTTCATGGTTCGGCGACAAAGGGGTTTCGTCAGCTGCTGGCGCATCAAGATTCTTCCGTCGGCCGCGGCCTTGTACCGTAGTCCAATCGCCTGCGTTGCTGTGGTTGGTGTTGATGGTTGGCCGTCCCTGGCTGCGTTGCCCCCCGACCTGCGGTCCACGAGAGGTGCTCTGAGCCTGCTGGCCACCAACGATGCGGAAATCCCCGGAGTAGTATTCGGTCCGCTCGCCATTCACATCTGCAAGGGACTCCCAGACAATCTCGTCGTGCGAGACATAGCCTGCATCTGTGACGAGGACCAGAAGTTGCTGGGTCGAAGGGTGCCGATACAATGTGGAAAAGTGATCGTTTCGGAACAGAATGGCCACAGATCCAGGCTTCATGGCCTTCGTAATTACGTCTAAGCCACAGGGCGTAAGCTGGGTAGCAGACGACTCCAGGAACGCTTTGATGTACTGTATATCCGAGTACACTTGCTCTTCCTCTTCTGTCAACGAGCCAAGCTTCTCTTGCAGTTCTTCGTCAAGGAATAGCAGCGTTTGAACGTCTTCAAACGAGGCAGCCTGGCGCTCAAATGCGCCATACGCCGGATCAGATTTGGGTGGTAGCCAACCGTGGATTAATGGGATGGCGAATGCAGCATAGAGCGCCATTTCGGTGGTGTCCTCAAACGTGCCAGGGATCAGGTCGTCGCGCTCAGTTGGGTGGAGGTGGGTGAGAGAAGTGCGCTTGAAAGCCTTGACGATCTCGGGAGTGGGTATGAAGCGAGGATTCACGTTCATTCCCGTGTGCAGCCCCTTGAGAAAGCCGTACAGCTCGGAAACATCGGGAAGGGAGGTGTCTTCATGGGTTCTTCTCTCCGACATGAGCTCGTCGAACACCGCGTCAAGCAGGTAGCCCAGGCTAATCTGTTCACGCGAGCGAAGTACCTGCACAAGCGCCGTGTCTGATACTGACGCCGGAGTGGTGAGGGTCAGCGCGTTCACCAGAGCTACGAGCGGACAAGGGCCATTGGCATTCTGGACCAGGATTGGAGACGTTCGCGGATTCTTCTCGGCACTGTGATCGAACCAGTTGATGTTTTTGATCTGATACGTTTCAGATTTGCCGTCGACTGGGCGAGGTGGCTGGCGTGGTGGGTGTTCCTCGTCATTCCTTGGGGGTAGCGCAGGAGGGGCCTTTTCAGCGGGTTCCGGCTCATCCGTGTCAATTAGTTTGTTGTTTGGTTGCGGCTTAGGTGTAGCCGCCTCGATAGGTTTCGAAGGAGGAGCCGGCGCCGGTGCGGGCGCGTCAACGAGGTTCCAGTCGTCGATTGGACCATCTTCGACGACAGCCGCAACTGCGACGGGAGCAGGAGCCTTTCCCTTGCCCTTGTTCTGTGCACCAAGGTCATCCCAGGCGTGCTGCTCGTCGGTGGCTTCGTTCATGACCTCTTTCGGCCCTGGCGGGGGTTGCGCTGGCAGTTTAGACTGGTTCTCGGGGAGATCGTCCCAGGCCGGCGATGCAGGTTCCGAAGGCAAGGACATTAGCGCCGGCGAAGTAGAGATCGGCGGGAGCCGTAAGTCTTGAGATACGGACCAGGCATCGTGCTCGGCGTCGGAGCTGGGTTGAGCTCGGAGGGGCTGTTGCACGGTCGAAGCGACGGCCTTTTGCTCGCGTTGGAGGGCATGCTGGTCGAGCGCTGGCTGCCACGGGTTATTACTAATTTCCCCGGTGCTCACCTGAGACAAGGGCTGGGCTGGAGGCATCGGCGGTGTTGTCTCTTCGGAGCCGGCGCGGACGTCCTTCCTCTTGAACGGGTTCGTATCGGACCGTGATGGCGGACCTTGCGGGGGACCGGGACGAAGCGCCAAGGGAACATCAACAGCATCCTTCGGCTTGTCGGCTGTCTGGGGTCTGGCGCCGTTGACATCGTCCCAGACGCCATTGGTCGTCTCTGCGCCGTTCATCGCAGCGCCAGCGCCCGGCTTCAAAGAGTCCGGGAAGTCGTGATGGGCGGGTTGTTGGTTCAGTGCCGCAGCGCCTTTCTGTTGCGAAGCGTCATCCCACACACTGCCAACGTCCGAAGGCGAGTCGGTAGTAGCACTCCAGAGCTCCTTTCGCATGTCTTGCAGCCGGGGCGCGGTGTTTGTGTCAACGGAGGTGTCGTCGGGAGCGGGCTTGCGGGTGACCATGTCGACGAGGGTCCCGAGTTCTCGGACTGGAGGCGGGCGGGGTGTTCAACGTATCGTTTGGGGAGGATGCAATTCGAAGGACTCGGTCGCAAGCAGAGGAAAGCAATCGGGGTTTCGGCGACGTCAAGAAGCTGCTGTGGCAGGCAGCTATGGGAGCTGCAGCAGGCGACGGGAAGGATGTATGTTCGGCGGCAAACGGCTGGAGGTTGGGAGCAAGGACGGTGGTGGTGGTGAAGCGAAGCGAAGCTCCAGCGGGTGTCGTCATTCGGTGGGTGGGCTGTTAATACGACCTCTGAATTATTGCAGGCAGGGAACGAAAAAGAAGGACCCGGAAGGATGAGCCAGGAAACGATCGCAAACGGGGATCCCGGGACCGTAGCGATTCTTGGCTGCAAGAGTGACAGGCCGAAATAAAGGATGGAGCGATGTTGTTAGGAGGATGGTTGTAAGAGATTGGCACAGTTTTGGTTTTGGGAAAGAACGAGAAGCAGCCGGGTCAGACAGAAAGAGAGAGCGAGAGAGAGGTCTGAGAAGCACAGCACAGCAAGCTTGCCAAGACCACCTCAGCTGTGCTGCGCGTTTCCAGGTCGGGGGTACCTTCCATGCTCCCTCTCCACTCTGGTCTGCCCGCCAGTGGATGCCACCTCAGGTGCTGTTGCCGCCGACGCACCGCTGCTCTGCTGCTGCTGGACAGTGGTGGTCGCTGATGAACGCTGAACTTGCCCGAACCTGGAAAGTGGCGATGCGCCTCCCCCACCACCAGCGAGGAAGTCGCGACGATACGTACTCTTACACTCACTTAGCAGCCGTACCTTAGACTTGGTATTCGTATCTCTAGCATTCATTCTCTCACTTGCAACAGCAGCAACTCGCTCAGCGGCTCAGAGCGGGCGATCCCCTCCACGGGTATCCTCTCAGTGCTACTTTTGGGTCACTGCCGCAGATGCAAGTGGGACCTCCGCCCGGGCGGCACAAGCACGACGACTTACGCGGACAGGGAACCGCAGCAGCGGCTAGGTGCTCTGTCTCTGTGTCGGCGTCTCTCACGCTGTCGATGACTGGGAGAGCTCCATGTCACCACCATGTCTGTCTGCCTCGGGGGCGAGCACCAGCCAGCCAACTGCCTGGCCAGCCCCAACCAACTACTCCCTCGCTGGCCGAACCACAACGTGGGAAGATCCCTGACGACCTGAGTCGGGTTCAGTATCGCCAGGCAACAGCATACGGGCAATGCAGGAATCAGATGAGACCTGGCTTGCGAAGAAGATGGGCTGCACGGGCAAAATACTCCATTTGCTCAATGCCATGTCCCATTTGCCATGCGCGCGTCCGACGATAGGCGTTGGTTAGCCACCTGGTGCTTGAAATGAACCACACGCACAAAAAGTATGAACACGGCTGACGGCAAGCTTCGCAATGGCAGGAACCCCGGAGGTTTGGTCGCATTTGCTGAGTGACGACGACGGCTTGGCTTACTGGACGACGTCCGGAAAACCGTCTTTGCTCTGCAGTAGCTGCCAAAGCAGGTACATGAGATAAGGCACGGATGAGATGGAAGAGTCGGCTGCTTGAAGAAAGCAAGCTTGCGCGTCCACTCTAGCTGCTCGCACCTCACATCGCCTTACATAGTACGTGTATCCACTGCAGATGCATTGGCGGTTGCGGTTTGCGATGGCGGGAATCGAGTGGCCATGTCGCCGACGCCGCCGAACTCCATCCGTCCAATCACCAAGCCGAGGGTGAATCAGGATTCAGTAAACATCAAACGTTCGGTAAGGCTGTTGGGAGACACTTGGCCGACGGTGAAAGAAGCAAAGACAGAAAAAGCAGGGAAGCGAAGTGGCCGTGGAACATGTACCCGCCCGGCCGCTGGACAACACAGGTGTGGCTGAGACGCAGCTGCCTGCTTGCCTACGCCACACAGCACCCGAGGTACGTATCTGTATCCCCACCTCAGCCCGTATCCCAAAGTGGATCCACCAAAAATGCTCCGCAGCCACTCACCGTCCAGGGAGCATCCCCCGCGAAATGACGCAACGCACCGCCCGCGCTCCGTGCCCGTGACTCTCCCAGCAGGGACGCTCCCCGCCCCCGCCCAACGCAGATGCAGCCTCAGTCAACCGCCGTCTCCAATTGTACACCGAATGCCTCACCTCGGAGATAGACCTACTACGCCCATACCGCCTTTACTGCATAACTAAGCAAACATACACCAAATTCCTTTTTTTATACCACGCAGTGAGTTGAGGCTCGGGCCTCCGTTTCATGACCGATACCACGCCCGCTTTAGCCCCGTTCTCCAACCCACCTTGCGAAGAGCCGCCTCGAACTCCCACTGGCATGAACATGCGTGGATTGGGCTTCAAGAAAACGAAGGAAAAAGATTGCGGTCCCATCTTCCGCCCTATGTTGTGTCTCCCTATCGATTAATTCCTTGGAAGTTACAACCTTCTTCACGTTGATGTCACGCACTTCCCTCGATTCGGGATCTCGAACACGCCCCATATCGCCTGTTCGCAGCCACGCATGGGACGGTTTGACGCTAGAAGAAAAAATGTGCTTTCCGCTTGCTATGCCTCCTTCCACACATGAACCCTTTTCCTGCTTCTCATCTCTTCACCTCTTCAGACCAACCTTTTTCACCTCCGAATGCTTGGCAATGTGGTCAGCCCTCAACTCAGAGACACGCCGACAGCCTATGATGCCCTTCCCATCTCACCTGTCCCGAGTAATGCGCGCACCTTGGGACTGCAAGGACAGCGTAGTGAGCCCAGCTGAGGCCTCCGCCAGGCCTGGTATTGAAAAAAAAAAAATATCCCATCCCAACTTTCCGTTTCAACGCGCCTTTCTGGCATATCCTTGAGTCGGGGGGTCCAAAGTATGTACGGCATAGGCACATATGCGCTAAAGCTGCCATGCCAATGGGCGGTATGCGACGGGAAACTCTGAGGGGGCCCTGGAGCAGCTGCTCCAACTCCATAGATCAACTAAACTCTATCACGAACTCTTCTCGGCGAAATTGCGTTCCGGGCTTCCGGGAAATACGAGGTCACGGGTTGACGGGTCGTGTGACTACCGACAATCACCCGTGGGCGGAGATGGGAGGAACCGCGGTGCTCGGAAGCTCGGCGCCGGAGAAAACTAGCCTTTGCCGCAGCCGCAGTCTTCGTTCCCCGCCGTCAAGCTACTGCCGTTCAAGTCGTAGCTCATCAACCACTCCCCAGCCCACTCATGCTCCGGCAGCCCCAGCGCAGGGTTCCGCCTATTAATACCCCTCGCGAACAGCACCCTGGCGTACGCCGGGTCAAAGACGAACAGCGTCTCGCCGGTAACAGCATCTTTCACTTCCGCCGTGGCCGCGAGCTCGTCAATGTTGATGACAGAGGTCGGGCCTCCTGCCACCGACGCCCACTCGATCTGCGCCTTGATATGCTTTGCAGTATCGGGGTCGAAGCGGGTGTCGATGAAGTATATGTTGTTTTTGCCGGCGGCCGCGACGTAGGGGGTGTCGGGCGCTACGATCTGAGGACCGTGCCAGGCGTCGATGAATGTTGGTTTGTAGTCGCCGCTGCGATATTCCTCTTGGAAGGTTGGCGGGCAGGAGGAAGGTCGGAATGGGTTTATGAGCATGGCGATGAACGGCCCAAAGATCATTGCAGTGAGGAGAATGAGGGTACTTGAGCTGCGTTTCACGAGTCTCTTCTCTTTTCATTCTCGTGGGAGATCCGGGTTCCCTTATATTTTCTATGAAGCCAAGGAACGACACATGATTCGGCCGTTGGTTGTCATGATGAATCCTTCAAAGGGAAGGTGCCCCATCAGGCTAACCCTATCGCAAATGCAGAAAGCTGACCATGCCGTGACAAATCCAGATAGTGACGGAATACGAGGGCCCGGGGGCTTTCTCTCATCGACCAATAGTCAATACAAGCTTTAGCCCCATCACAACACCCAGTCTGGATTACCAGAAGGGAAGCTCGATACGAGTCGAAGCCAACAACCAGCACAACTTCTCGGATCGAGCGGCACAATCGAAGATGTAAAGATATCCCCTTCTGTATTAGGCTGCAACTCCTGAAGAATATTGACACACTCCGAGTCAATCGGGAAAGGTTACCGCCAATGGGAGAACTTCAAAGGCGCAAAGGAAGTCCAATGGAAGTTCATTTCGCGTAAAGTTCAACTTCCCGGGCATAGAGAGTATCCACAGAGCCAGGTTTCCGTTCCTCCATTCCGTTTTCTGCTACTCGCCCTGTTTTCAAATGTAGTCAGCCAATCAAATATTGGAGGTTCCTCCCGTTCTTCGACTCCCTCGTTTCTTCTGACATCTGAAGACTATGCAATGGAGGCGAAGATTGCAAGGGCAATGGGAAAATGACCAACGTATGCGATGACAACCACAGAAGAACCAGCATTCAATTCAAGAAGCCATAATCCGAAGTGGGGCATGCAGGCGCACGACTTTTCCTCTCTAAGCCGTGTGCTTGATGTTTGCGGTTTGATACTCATGTCCAACAGCTAGCACAGGCTCTTCGCCTGATATTTCCCGCGTGAACCCGTATTTGATACGCATTTCCTTAATTTTGTACGTGATATCGGAGCCGTCCATCCAGGACATATTTGAGGGCAAGTCAATGTACCTCGAGTTTCGGACTACTGTCGACACCGATCCAAGAACCTCGGGCCCATCTGCTAAATGAGTGAAGACGACGCTCCTGACCCCTCCGGGTAGAAGAATGAGTGACGAGAGGAGACAAAGCCCTAACCACAGTGTTGATATAGTGAAAACATCCGAAAGCTCGCTAGATTCCCCAGAAATTGTGATGTTTGGCTCAATGGCATTTCCGTTACTGCTGCCATTGGTGATCAAACCTGAGAGCTGGCTTAACGAAATATAAGTGTTAGTCAGCTGACTAAGACGTATACCAACTTGGTGAGGGTCGAGATCGCCCAGATGAACCTCGGCCCCGGTTGAGACATCTTCAAATGTTGGATCTTTG